CTAATGCTGCTGTGTCTTCTTGTTTCTTCGAGCCAATGCTCGTCGTCGCTATTCTTCAACCAACTTGTAGCAATCTGAGTTGCTTTCGTCCGAAGGAGAATTTGTTGATTCAATATCCTACATGGATCAAACAAAACTGCAAGCAAGCCGGGGAACCGATGGATCCGGAGCACCTTGTGGGCCCGAGCCTCTAGTCAAGCTCCGATGAACCCTGGCTTCTTGCAGGACGCAGGACAGGCCTGTTCAGCAATTGAATTGAAATTCGGACCCTGTTTGTATCAAAACTGCTGATATCGTTTTTGGTTGCGTCCTGGCCGTCGATCAACCTTCTGCTGAAGGCGCTCAGATAAAAGGTTGTCGCTGTTCACTGACAGTCGTTTATGTCTGGCGCTACTCAGAATCTAATTGTTGATAGAAATACTCCTTTAGCCTGTGACACCAACACCCACCCGCTCCTATATCCGTCGACTGCTCGTACGACTGCCATTCCGTGGCTCAAACTGGAGGTAGATGCAGCCAGCCGGCATCTGTCCAATATTCAAGTCCAAACGCGGAGTTTATTACACTCTTTCTTGTACAGATCTCGGTCGAATGTGTGTGGGCGGTACCTGCAGCAAAACACACATTTTCAAATGGGACTTTATGCATAGCGTAAGCCCATGAATAAGTCGGAGCAAATGCGGATGCCAAAGTTTCACATACAATCCTATATGACAGACGCATACACGGCAAGGCGTCCAGTGCAACCAGACGTTGGGTTATGTTCTCGAACGGCAGTTGCTCACCATTCCAGTGACATTCCGTTTCTTAGATATTACCGGAAATGTCTCTGGCAAGAAACTCGTACCTTGTTCTGTCACTATTCGTCAACCATATTGGCACATCACCTCATATGCCCTGTGGCTTCAAGATTTACATGGCTCTTGTCTAGTCTGTGCTGCTTGACCAGCTTGATCAGTGATGACTCCAGAATCTTGCGGCGATCAGTGCAAAATATCAAAGCCTTTAGAAGGCTCCAGCGCAATTTACTACGACCCCGAGATATCCACTTGCGTCCGTTGCCGCGCTTGACAGGCCCCTGCAATCCTGCATCTATAAAGTGAGGTCAACCCCCGTCCCTGACCCATTCCTAGTCCGGCCAAGGATAATGAACGATGATGCCCCTGATCAACTTTGCTCAGGGGTTTATTCGTTATTTAACTTTGGGATCTCTGTATCGTATGGGTCTCATTCATCGATTTGCAGCAGTATTCTTCCGCTTAACATCCAGGCCCCATGTCTGCCCTGGTTAACATCATCACTAGCAATTTCGGCTCCATATCCACGTATGGCCCAGAACAGGGGTTTCTGTTATGAGATGCTGCCAGATGTCAGGCCAAGATTCGCAAAGACAGGCAACACCAATAAGTGAAGTTTTATATACCTGTTCCCTTCATCCATTTAGCCATCCTACACACGTTATTGCATCCAGCCACTTTCGTAGTTCTCACCCAAGGTGGTTGTTCGTCGTGACTCCTTTGCTTTCACGGTCATGAGTCGAGTAGTATCTGGAGCCAGCCGGCTTGGCATCCCTTACTATCCAGCTACGGAGTACTCATCGGCATGACATCCCTTACCGAAGCCACCTTTAACGAGTTGGGTTGGAGAGCTTCGAGCGTTGGTCTCCGTATCCTCCCCGGTGCACGACTCATGTCATACCTCCGCTTATTTCCTATTCAGACTCTCATGCAACCACGGCTAGTTTTGATTGTCAAAAATAGGCTCCGTTCCCTTTGCAACACATACCCAGAGATGTATCATAGTGTTGCTGTCGTTTCATCGCCAGCTTTATCTAGATAAATATAATCTCTGTGAAATGGTGTAGCTAAGTCGAAGTTATGTTTTGCTCTTGGTGTTGGTGTCGCCAACTCTATCTGTTGAGCAGGTGATATTGCAGGCGTGACTCAAGAACCATGAACCCTGCAGCAACACCTCAACTGAGTGAATATTTGCTTTGACGCAGCCATGGGTGCAATGCAACACCAGTGATGGTTCCAGTTAACCAGTACAGTTGGATCGAATTAATAAGGAACTCTGAGCTTGAATCAGGACGTGTAGCCTCGAGACAGATAGCAGATCTGGTGTGAGGCACACAGCTCATCAGCAGCGCCGACTTATGAGAGCACTACCCTATACCAAGCCCTACTGTCCCATGGTCAAGTAACAAGACTTGCATGACGAGGAAACCTGTCAAGAGAACGTGCATGATTGCTTATTCTAATCAACCGTTGATTATATTTGTTCTTAATTTATTTATGTTGCATTGGTGTATCTTCGTATTGAAGAATCACCGCTTTCACACCCTCATGCTGTTATGTATTGTATCGCCAGCACGGGAAACATATTGTGATAAGTATGACCTTTGGATCGAGCATTAAAATGCCAGATAATACATCAACAAACTTAAAGGGACGACTCTCTCAACTAGCCACAGCCTCTGAAGACTCGCAGCTCGTGGAACAATGGTATCTAAGAAATGTTTACCTCGGGTAACTTGGACGCTTGGAACCTGCAGCATCTTGCATATCTAGCTGCGTATGTAATACGAACAACCATCCAATGCAACAAACAAGTGGCAGAGCGGCGTAAGCTGACTCACATTTCTTGTCATGTCTCGGACTTGAGAGCCAGCTGAACATATGAAAAAGAGGTTCGCCCCGAGAAGTCAACCACATTTCTTTTAGTTATCTTTATCGCTCTTACATGTTAGTCGTGAACCCGATCTCAAGATATTGATAATGGAGACTCTTGACGTGGCAGTTGTTGGAGCGGGTAAGAAAGTGACTTTCATATCGACTGAGATATTAAAGGATATGCCAAGGGACAGCAAGCTTACATATATCAGGTTGGGCTGGGTTGGTTGCGGCGAAGACTCGCCATCAGTTACACCCCGAAGAATCTCTGGCGGTTTTCGACTCAGCTGCTACGCTTGGTGGCACTTGGGCAAAACATCGCCTTTATACAGGCCTGAAAACCAACAACATGTTGGGTACTTTCGAGTACCCTGATTTTCCCATGGACACAGACACTTTTGGTGTCAAGCCAGGCCAGCACATTCCTGGCCAGATAGTACACAGATACCTGGAGACCTATGCTCGACACTTTGATATATACGAAAAGATTCGATTTGAGCACAAAGTTGAGACGGCAGAGCACCAAGCGAACGGTGGTTGGATCCTAACGGTAAAAGACACCAAAGTTGGTTATCATATCAAGATTAGGACCAAAAGACTGGTTCTTGCGACGGGTCTCACTTCAGAACCCTTTCTACCAATATTCGAAGGCCAGGAAGACTTTGAGGCTCCCATATTCCACGGAAAAGACTTACGCAACCATGAAGATACATACGAAACGGCCAGGTCAGTGACAGTATTCGGAGGTACAAAGTCGGCCTGGGACATGGTGTATCTATATGCCACCAAAGGCATCCAAGTGAACTGGGTCATTCGAGGCAAGTAACATCGTAGGGACATATGTCGACTTCACTGACTCTCATAGAATCCGGTCATGGCCCCGCTTGGAATGCTCCTCCTTATGTTACACCTTTTAAGAAGTGGCTCGAGAAACTCGCCCATATACGGATGTTAACATGGTTCAGTCCGTGCAGTTGGGGTGCAGCAGATGGTTACGTGAAGACTCGCAACTTCTACCACGGGACCTTCATTGGGAGAGCTATCGTCGATAAGTTCTGGAGCATTCTTGGTAACGACGTTATTACGCTCAACAAATACGACTCTCATCCCGAGACGGCCAAACTCAAGCCATGGTCTAATGCCATGTTTGTGGCAACGAGTATAGGGATTCTAAACTATGAGAAGGACTTTTTCGAGGTTGTCAAAGAAGGTTTGGTCAAGATACATATTACCGATATCGAAAGGTTGGGTAAGCAAACAGTGCACTTATCTGACGGCACGGCATTGCATACGGATGTGCTGTGCTGCGCAACGGGTTGGAAGCATGTTCCCCCTATCAAATTCCTACCAGAAGGTATCGCTGAGGATATTGGAATGCCTCATATGCCGTCTCCTAAGTCGTTCCCTTACGAACCACTCCTGGATCAAGTCGACAAGGAGATCTTTGACAAGTTCCCTCGTCTCAGAGATCAGCCCATACAGAAAGTGCAAAATAGCAAGTATCATACACTGCTAGAGGATAAAGGCCTCTCTAGTAATGACGCTATAACGCCATCGACAGCACTGACGCCGTATACGCTATACCATTTCATCATCCCACCATCAAGTCAGTTCCTCAAGACTCGAGATGTTGCTTTTGTGGGAATGCTGGTCAACTTCAGCAACCCCATGGTTTCCCACGTCCAATCGCTCTGGGTGAACGCCTTCTTCGACGATATGATTCCATCTCTCCCTCGAAACCCTTCACCAGAATTTGTATCTCGATTCCAGCACGAGGCAGTGCTTCATAGTCGGTTCGGAAAATGGCGATACCCAGGTGGTTTTGGCCACAGCTTTCCAGACTTTGTGTTTGATGCTGTTCCGTATCTGGACCTCCTGCTCAAGGACTTGGATCTACCAATTTATCGAAAGAATGGTATGTTTGCTGAGATGACAAATCCTTATGGGCCAGAGGATTATACGACGGTGGTGGATGAGTGGAAGGCGAAACAACTTGAGCCAGAAGCTCCATGGTATCAATGGATACACGCGCTCGCTTACTGAAGGATACTACAACAACAACAACAACAACAATAACAGGATAGTCTATCTTTTGGGATGAGAGAGATAGTCGATTTGAGTGTGTAGTATCTATTTTATGAATGGCATTCAGTTCTTAATTGCGCTGACTCCTTGACGTTTCCCGTGATTAGGCAGCAGCACGTTCTCAGCCTCTTTGACTTATATGGCTAGAGCCGTTCATTTCCTCATCACAGAAATTCCAACATCTTCCTCAATATCTTGACTCGAAGTAATAATCTTCAGGCAATCAGAGACTTGAGAGAAACCATGCCTGACATTATTGACTTAACAGCCTCATCTCCACCTATGACACGTCAAACAAGAAGTTCAACTCAAGCACTCTCTTCAACCTCTGCACCCTCGAGAAAGGAGCAGACAATAGACGGTTCCTCTCACAAACCAAAGATAGAAACTCTATCGTCAAGACTCTCTTTCTCTCGCCTTTCCATCTCAGAAGAACACCACGATGCCCTCATCTTAAAACGCAACTGGCTGACCTCTCACACTGTTCCCCTTCCCCAAGATGTCCTCCGATCTCTCGTCCTGAGTCCAAAGACATACCATAGTCCAGTGGACGCAACATTCGTCTTTGCACAGTCTGAGGCTGGAACTGCAGTCTGCATCTCACCCGATGGCGTCCTCCTCACCTGTGCCCACTGCGTTGCGGAAGAACCCTCTGAGCTCACTGCCAACCCATCATGCGTCCTCGTATCATCAAATGGAAAGGTTGTCTCGACGACAGTGGTAGCTTGGGATCCAATACGTGATCTCGCATTACTTCTGATCGACAAAGCCGAGCTTCACCACAGACCGTTTCCCTATGCTTATATCGCATCATCACCTCCCAAGTTCAACTCCAAGCTCCTATGCATAGGCCATCCGGGCTCCGAGGATCTCGAGGCTGAACGCAGTGGTGTAAAGACAGAGTACGACACACTAGTTCTCAGCGAGGGGACCTTCTGTGGGCTAGATAAGGATCAAGATCCGCAGGATAATAGTGAGATCGGTGCTCTTAAGCATAGCTGCTGGACGTACTGGGGACATAGCGGTGCAGGATTGTTTGATCGAAAAACGGGGGCGTTGGTAGGCGTGCATTCAAGCTGGGACGACGAGACAGGCATGAGGAGGGGAGTACCATTGGAAGCGGTGGTTGAGTTCGTCGAAGAGGTTGAGGCGAGCAAGAGGGAAGACTTTACAGAGGAGTGGCAATGGTATATGAGGTGAAGTCAGAACCTAATGATCATATCCGTGGCTTGATATTGAATGGGAAACGTGCTTAGAAGAGGTACCATGAAAGAAAGACATGATTGTTGTCTATCAACTTCAACTTCAAAAGGATGACTCTTAGTCTACACCGCGCAAGAGTCTGTTGCCACAAAGCTCTAACATCATGTCCAATTCTTATCAACTGCCAGCATATCCTCTTATGCAAGGCAGAGTCCACAAGATCCGACTCACAAAGATCCCGGCTTCTTAGCCCTAACACTGTTTGTACATTGACCTGACCTGACCTGACCCGATCCAACCCGTGCTTCTCGCCCATAATTACCAACCCTTCCTCCATGTTCTGTTCTGTACCGTGCTGTGCTGTGCTGTGCTGCGCTGAAATTAAGATGCAAGCCCCCAAAAATAGAACCATGATGAACATTCCCGCCGTTTGTTGCAGAATAACACCTAGTCGACTTTTCAAACGCCGTAACCCGCAATGTCCCCATGATGAATTTGATGAAAAAAAAAGCTGCATGCGCATGGATGCCGTGGCTTGATCGTTCACTTCCACAGCAACGTCCTGCCTCAATGAGCATCCCTTTGACAAAAGCAAATACCTAGCTTCGAGTGGAACCAGCCGAGGAACCGAGTTGCTCTAAGCTCTCCCTCCAGTTGCCCAGCCCTGCAACTCTCTGAACCCTGGTCTTCAAACAAGCCTCCCCTCTTAGTTTCCGAATCTGTCAATAATGTGATTCAGCCCAAGACAAACGCGGGTAGCCCAGAGGAGTGTCTGGCGTTCCGCCCCATAATAGCCCATGGCTGGTGTTTCAGGTTCACCACCTCAGCTCAGAAACGCTGACCCACTGAAACAAACATCACCAAACGTCATGCAGGCCACCTCGACAGGTTTGCCGACTCTTGCCTTGTCCCACTTCCAAGAAACGCATCTAGACCTGGTGGTTAGTGCCGACTCTGCATGTCAGACGTACAGCATGCGTCTCGTGCTCACCACTCGAATGGGCTCGGGTTTCGGTAGGCGCCGTCCGATACTCTGCGTTTGGATTGTTGGGAACCTCCACCATGAGGCACCCATTCCGAGTAGAGTTTAGATGATTCCTCCTGGGGGATCGTAGCCTGTTGGCGCCCCTCTCGAGGTGCTGCCCAGCCCTGCGCTTCCTGGCTCTCCATCTAAAGGTGCTGTTGTTGTCTTTCGTAGCATAAACATGGGTTTCTTGCCTTCCTTATCCAGTTGCTTAAACAGAATCAATGGCTTCTCCTCGAGACCTAGACAACGTTCCTGATCGCCGTACACAATATAGAGAGCATACTGGTCCCATGGAGCGTTGATCTGGTACTTTTTCAGCGCAGCAGGAAGAACCTTGTAGCAGGGGTCCTCCATACTGACACGGAACGATTTGAAGATCTCGACTGAAGCGTTGCTCTGACTGGGTGTATCAGGTACAGGGGTTTCTCGTCGGCGGGGCGGCCCTTGCGGTGCCTTTTCGCGGGAGGTATAGACTGCATTGGCGTGACCTTCATCGTTGAAAGTGGTTCGTGTGGAGGGTGTCGGTGCTTCACTACGGTAGGATCGAGAGGCGAGGGTCGTAGCGGACATGTGGGTCTGAGGAGATGTCGGGGAGGGAATGTTGGGTGAGGGATACGAAGGGGAGGAAGAGCCCTGACCACCTCCGTTCATAGCTGCAAGATGGGAAGACGATAGGACGGCTCGCTCTGCAGCACTTGCGGGATCCAACGCAGTCTCCGCTATTGACCTCTCGTGCGTGGATTGAGTGGGTGATGCATTCTTTGGTGTAGCTCCGATGAGAATCTTGCGGGTCGAATATTGTCGCTTGACAGAGCTTCCAGATTGACTCGAGCCCGGGGGTGGTGTTGGTGCGGGGGGCGATATGGTTGTTTCGTAGCCATAGGCCTGCTGGCTGTTACCACTCAGATTGGGCAAAGGCTGCTGCGCATCCTTGACCAAGCGCAAGGCCGGGAGCATATCCTCTCGCAATCGTCTGAAATCTTCTGTCATTCGTCGCAGATCCTGTTCGAGTAGGTTCATGCGTTCATCGCGGAGACGGAATTGTTCGACAAGATGTTTGATGTCCTTGATAGTTGCGGTAGCATATTGCGCTTCGGCGTCGGCGGCTGCAGGGGTTACAGGTTAGAATCAGGCCAGTCCACCCAAGAGGGGAAATCGGAGACAACGTACATAGGGGGAGGTAATGGTCGCTCTCAATGGGGACATCTTGAGCCTTTTTGACATCATAGACGCTTTTGAGGATCGTTAGGCGATGTCCCACACTAGCAATGCCCATGCTCTTGAGATCATCATGTTGTAACGCTACCAGGGCCTCGCCAACAATCTCGTTTTCTGCAGGTAATCAAATGTTAGCTATCACAATATCCCCTCCAATGTCTGTGGCACCATCCGTCGAGGAGATGGGATGGCATGCTTTGGACCAAAGACGCACCTATAAAGCGATCGGCATACTGTTGAAGACCAATGGTGCCAATGAAATCAGCACATTCCTCAACGGTCCATTCGGTGATGATGGTTTCTGGGAGACGGTCGGCGCTGCTGCGGTGGCCGTATGTAGTAGGAGTATGCTCTGCAGAGGTCGAGAGCTCGGAGTCTATGGGGGAAGCCTCAGAGTTGGTGATAGGAGAGTGGTCGCCCATGCTTCGCTCGTATTCGTCGTCGGCGTCGGACTCGGCGTAAGCTGTGCCACCATCGAAGCTCATCATTCTGACGATTATGAAAGAACAGTCGCCAACAACGGAGGCGGGGGCTGAGACGAAAGACTAATTCAGGCGACCGTGGTGGTGGTGGTGATGCCACAAACAGACAGATGCGCTTGATCGGGCACCGTAAGATAGAAAGAGAGAGGACGAGCGTTGGCGAAGGACAGTCGGTCGAATGCTTGTAAGTCTTTCATTCAAATCGTGATCGGAACGTCATAAAAAGAGAAGCAATGCTCAGGAGTACGAGGTGGGAGACGTCAGGGTCGAGGAAGTGGGCGCAGCCTGGAGGACGATTGGACTGGAGTGGATTGAATGCGAGAACAAATCGAATGGACGAATAGAAGATAGAATGGGCTGAGGAAAGGCAATGTCGAAGTGGGAAAAACGAGCCGATCCCAAGAGAATAAGTAGACCCAAGCCGAGACGCCTCAAGGAGGACAAATACCGTGGAAACGTTAATAAAAAGAGAAAATAAGAGAGTCGGAGGTAGCCAGAGGAGAAGAAGGCGGCTGGTGGTGGTGATGATGACGGGGTGTTTGTGTCTTGGTCTAAAGGTCTTGTCTTGTCTTGTCTTGCTCGGTCTTGGTCCTGGTCCTGGTCCAGTCCAGGTCTTGCTTGTGCTCTCGCTCGTGGAAGCGCTTGGGGGTGGAAAGGGAAGAGGAGGTCCTCCACTCCGAGTTACCTAGACCTATTGAAATGGCAGCTGTCTTAAGGTACCTAGTACCTGAATTTGCAGGCCGCAGTAAGCCCTTCCGAGCCCAACACGGATGTACTCCGTACCTATCTCATGACTTGGCCGCTCGCTTGGTGGACCTCGCGGCCGGCCTGGGAGGGACTTTGAATAACTGATCCTCCACTGAGAACACGGCTTGTCTCCCGTCCCGCTCCACTGACAGCATCCCCCTGTAGGTACCCCGGCCAGGGCCCCTCACCACTAAATAAGTATGAAGCCTGGCTGCCGCTGCTGCAGCCCGTTAACCAGCCCAACCATTCCATTATTCGACCCTCCTATGCACGTCTTCAATCAGTCATTGGATAGTTTCTGTATACCTTTTCAGTAAACAAACAACCAAACTTAATGCCGTTCTTGGACGGTTTTCTGTCTTGAGTTGTAGTGCGCGTTTAGGAAAGTCTTGGGCGTTGACACAAAACATAATCTAAGCCCTGGCAAGCCGCTCATTGAAATGTATTGAGCTCCTGGTCCACTCAATTAACCTCAGCTTGTCTCTCCTTCAAACACCATTGGACCTTCAACATCAGGGAAACCATTCAAGATGGAAGTTTACGGATGGCTAGGAGGCTCAAGCCACATTTGAAGTGACAGTTCGAGGTATTCTGAGGAAACATTGTGCGTTTGAGACCGAGCCTCCAGCATTCCCATTCAACAGTTAGGGAATCGGCCTTGCAATGATGCTATAGACCCCTTGGAGATTAGCAAACTTCCGAGGCAAGGTATTTGATAACGAATATAGCTTTTATAAAAGCTGAGAGGATATGCCATGGTTACCCATGAGTATATGCGACGGCGTATCAATGTTTACCGAGATATATGACTTGGGATCTTCGTGTATACGTTTCTTTGATTACTTGAAGCAAATCTATGCTGCTTCAGATCTATATTTGTCGACTAACAATTACTCTATATGCCATACGCATCCCAGCCTTGCGACTTAGGTTGGTAGAGTGAGTCTTGCTCATGATTCCCATTCCCAACATGGCCCATTACCTCAACACGCCTTCAACTCCATTAATCCATTCCAAAAAAGAAAGAGAAAAAAAAGGCCCTCCCTCTTGCATGAAAATTTGGGGGCAAAAAGGGCGACAGTCGCCAAGAACAAGCCATTAAACGTCGTGCAACGTCGCATTCCTTCACAGGTTGTATCTATGAAAAGCGTCAAACACCACTCAGACCACTTCTGAGCACATGGGTGATTATAAAGATGTATCAAACACCAGAAACAAAATTTGATTAAGAGGCCAAGATATTAGCGTAGGGGAATCTTTGAGTCCTGGACACCGTGTTGGACAACGTCTTCTAGGCTCCAACGAGGGGCCTTGAGGGGAATTCTGCTTTCCTTTCTCCATTCCTTTTCTTGCTTGGGTTCAATACCCTCAGGAAGATGTTCCAGTCCTCCTGCTACTCCGGTCGAGAACTTGATCTGCAGGATGTCACCAACTTCGTCGCATGCAGCCAGCAGACGGTCAAGATCCTCCTTGTTGTGGGCAGCAGAAACACAGAAACGGGCGCGAGAGCTGATGAGTGGGGTCGCAGGGTAACCAACAACAACGACTGAGATCTTTCGTCGAAGCATTTCGTGACTGAAAGCAGGGAGCTTGGCGGGGTGGTAGAGCATGACCGGAATAATAGGAGAGTCATCATGACCGTAGACGATAAGACCGAGACGCTTAAGTCCGAGACGAAGGTAACGAGAGTTGAAGGCGATGCGCTGGAGACGCTCCTCACCTTGGCCAGGGCACAGTTCGCCAGTGATAAGTTTCAGAGAAGCCAAGATTTGCATGAGCACACAAGGAGCCGGAGTCTCGCCATACTGAGTAGCAGCGTTGGTGCTCTTGAGCTTGTCAATAATGTGTTTCTCGGCTGCGATATAACCACCGTTGGCACCAAAAGACTTTGTCAGAGTTCCCATGAGAATATCAACTTCGGAGGGATCAATGCCAAAATAATCGCAAACGCCACGGCCACGGGGGCCAAGAGCACCGACAGAGTGAGCCTCGTCAACGAAAAGATAGAACTTGTACTTGTTCTTCAGAGCAAGAATACCGGGAAGATCACACATGGTACCCTCCATAGAGTAGAGACCTTCGACAACGACCAGAATCTTCTTCCAGGGACGGTGAGTGCGGGGTTGACCTTGGGAGATAGCTTCGCGAACAACACGTTCCAGATCGGCCATATCATTGTGCTTGAAGCTCTGAATAACGGCACCAGAAAGACGAGCACCAACACGGATGGAGGCGTGGTTGAGTTCATCGGAAATGATCAGACAACCCTTGGAAACAATGGCGGGGAAGGAGCTGGAGTTTGTGACATAACCCATAGAGAAAACCATAGAAGCGGGCTTGCCAACGAATTCGGCAACCTCACGCTCAACCTCAAGAGCAAGATCAGAAGTACCAGCAGCACCACGGGGGCTGCAGAAGCTGATTCCATACTGCTTGACACACGCCTCCACAGCGTCGGCACAGGGACCTTCAGACTGGGCAAAACCAAGGTAGTTGTATGAACTCATGTTGAGAGTCTCGGTGTAGGTGCCGGTATATTGATAGGTGCGGTTGAAATCGTCGGACTTGCGGTCCATCAGTGTGATGAAGCGTCCAGGGACGCCGGTGGTAGGACGAGCGAAACAATCATCCAGACGCATCTTGAGACGTCGGACGTAAAAATTGTCAAAATCACTATTGAGAGCTGCATAGCCGTTGCTGGCTTTGAGGGCGCGATAGTGTTTAGGGTTTCCGAAACGCTTGCCAAAGAAATCGCGAATATGACCAAGAACAATCAGGATCAGGTAGCTGATGTAAGTGGTAAGAATGAAATAATAAGGAGGCTCATCCTCGACAGGGGCCTGGAGAGGTTCTCCATGAGACTGGCTGGTGTATCGATGACTTGAGTGGAGGAGAGGGCCAAACTGAGCGTCGGCACGCTTCTGTCGGTCGATTTCCTCGGCAGACTTGGGCTGAAAGAGAGTGGTTGTCGAGGCATCGATGCTGTTGGGGTCGCCAGGGCTCGCGGTTGAGAGGGAGATGGTAGGCAGACCTGGAGAAGGAGAGAATCCAGTAGCAGCGGCTTGGTTCTGCTGAACAGCGGCAAGAGCCTGCTGGGCACCTGTAGACTTGGGGCTACTGGAGAAGAAGTTGGTGATACGGTTGCCTTTTGAGGTAGAAGGGCGCCTCTCGCCCGACTTGACGGGTTGAGACATGGAGGGTGAGGATGAGAAAGGATTAAGCCGACGGGGCATCTCTCCTGGCACAGGTGCGTTGGGTTGGTGAAGGCGCGAACGTAAGGGAGGCTAGATCGCGAGAAGTCGAAGGAGGGTAGGGCACCCAATTGTACGCAGAAGGGCAGAAAGTCGAGAGTCTGGGAGCCAGGAGCGAGTGTTAGTGGATGTGCGAATTCTAACAATCGATTCACGATTCGCCGCAAAGCATATTCTGTAGATAGGAGGTTTGTTGTTGGGAACCCAATTGCTTTTCAATGCGGATGAGGATATGTGAAGCAGGAAAGAAAACAAGACTCAACGTGCACCGCGATCGAGAACAAGCTGCAACACAAGCAATGGAGACAAAGATGTTGAGCTGGGGCTGATACGCGGTACAACAGATGTTGATGAGGAAGAATTATGAAATTGATAAAAAGAGGTGACGACTGAGTTTAAAGTTGAATTGGAGCGCTGTGCAGTGCTGCGCGTAGTGGTGCGTGGTCCAGGAGGCACAGGGGGGCGCAGGAGGTGGCGTCGAATCAAACTTGGAAAGTGAAGATCCGCCCACTGCAAATTGCTTGTGGGCCTTCGACTCGAGTAGCGGGGCCAGCCGTGGTCCAGCCAAGAATCGCTTAAAACACCAGACAGATGATGGGATGAACCGATGAAAGAGTGATGATATTTGATGAAGAGAGAATGATATCGATTATCAAAAATGTAAAGTACCACTTACCCAGTCACTACTCAACAACAGAACAAACTGTTGTGCTGCTGTTCCAATTCCAAGTACCGAGACAAGCGTTGCCGTTCCAAGGAAGACAGATCGATCCAAGCTCAAATCGATCAGGCCGCAACGCAAGGGCGTATAATCGAGTAGCGGTCGTCGATGACTTAATTCGGCGGTCAAGCGAGATCGATACTGCTGAAGAGTACTGATCGAGAGCAACAAAGCGAATTGATGCTCGAGGGGTAATTAATCAGCCCTGGGTTTAGTTTAGAGCTGGATGCTTGTGATGGGATAAATGGTATTAGTCGGTGGACTCTCTCGATCACTCGGCCGAAGCCTGTCTGCAAGTGGGCGACGAAACACAACCACGGCCTAACAAGCAGCAAGAGTGATAATGAAAAGAGAAGAGAAAGACGACAGAAGCAGGGAGTAACTGGTTATTATTCGACCCGACCTACACCACGAGAACAGAAACAAGAAAACTGCGGAGTCAGCGGCACAACGGGAGGCGCATTGAAAAACAATAAAAAGTCCAGGTTTTCCGCTCCATGGGAAACAGCGGGGACCAGCACCAACTAGTACTGGGTACCTGAGTTTGAGGTGATGCATCTAAGCGACGGGGGATACCAGTTACTTGACGGAGTGTAATCAGAGCCGAGAGGAAGTTTAAAGTTGCATTTGTTTACATGTACCTGAGCCGCTGACCGTGTCACTGTATGCGATGTACGATGTACGAGAAACGCACACAGAACAGTATCCATAGCACAACAGAGCAAGCAAGCACCCGCGGAATGGACCGGACACAAGGATAAGAAGGAATTCAAGGGGTCAGCCGGCGGGGACTTGCATTGCGTTGCCTTCTCGTCTCGTCTTTCGCCTTTTCGTTTCCAGACCAGGCTCGCTTCCTTGACAGGCCTTGACAACAAGGGACTTCCTTTATCCAGCCAGGGCTTCATGAGGCGAGAGAGTTCAAAAACGAGGCCCGTATTCTCTATGATGACGCCGTGTTATCCTCGAAGGCTGACTATGCCTGTTCAACTGAGCTCCTGACCTCGAATCCTACCCAGATGCAGATGCAAAGTGATCAGAACATATCTTTGGCTCCCTCTCCTTAATTGAAGTCCCTGTAAAAAAGATCCAATGGTTCTGTTTTCAAGACGAACCCCTGGGCTCCGAGGTCTCCGGCCTGCGAATGGGAAGACACGGGAGACTTTAAGAGAAAACGCCACTTTTCTTTTCTTCTAGCTCGGCTCGCACCAAATTTCTGTCGTTTGCCTCCTGTAGCGAATGGCAGACTTTCAAAAGCTTGAAGGGGGCCGCGGCTCACCACCATCAGATCTTGCTGGTCTTGCACAGCATTGGTCATGATGAAACCCAAAGGAAGTGAGATGTCATCATCCAGGGGCATGCTGTGCCCAAGCTCTCAAAATCTCCGCCGCACCCGGCGATGATGATGGCATTCTTCTTCAAGCTCTCTCGTTAGGGAAGAGTCTCGTGGCATATCAAGTCTTTGAACTCTTTTAACTTTTGGTCCGGTCGCCTTGATAGTCACTTTGCACTTCATCCTTGATAACTTTCATGAATCGTATGGAGACCTGAGCTGGGATTTCTCCCCCAGAACAAGCTACTGCAGCCGAGTACACACACTTGCAGCCAACGATGCTGTGCTTAGCTGTGTATGTATGTCCGGATGACATGAGTCTCAATGAAGTGCATTACTTTTTAGCGCTTGCTGTTGCACACCGACATCAATGGTCAGATAAAAGATGTTGCAAAGCCCTGCATAACGTCCATCTAACAAAGATGAACAAGATCTTCTAATGCCAAACCTTCACCGCCAGCTCTTTTTCAGCCCAAAACTGCAACTAATGCACACGGTCCGTGAGGATCATTTCGTGCTATCCGGATTGACTTGTCGCATTCTCGAGTTGAGGAGGCTCAAGATATCAAGTGTCATACCACCACTTCCGAGATGGTCCACTGCCTTCTGGTCGACTCCCCCATCGAGCTTGTCTCATGCTATGCGAAGAAGTCAATGTCCTTGAAACAGAAGTTGTTGTAAGATATCGAGGCCTGATCATCTCGGATTCAAGGCGGTTCGGGACGATCGACTATGCCGAGCTCTCCCTACCAGTTACGGTCCGGCAGCTAAGCTTAGACTGTACCGAGGTAGCGAGGCAACCAACAATGCACTAATCTCGCCAAACTGCCATACAACGTGATTTTGATTCAGCTTTGCCTTGAGCTTTGACAATCACGTTATGTTGCGTATTCGTTACTTGCTTTTGAGTCACCGTTGATTCTTCTACTGAAGAAACCACAATGTGCTCTCCTTTTATTTGAAGTGATGGCATCTCGTTTAGCTCAACATTACAGAGGTCATTTACGAAGAAAAGTGACAACTCACAGCTCAAGACACACTAATCTCGCAAGTCCCCTGAGCAATTACGATACCGTTCAAGTTATCAAAGCCCATCAATAGTTGTCATGATGGATAACCCTTAAATCCTCAGCTTGAAACAAGCCACACATCATGACCTCAGCCTCCCCCACCACAGCCACTTCGGGGTAAGAGACGGGACTCGATGGCGGGGAGCCGAGAACGGGAGGGGACGGCTTTCAGCGGTTGGGTCATTAGAGAAAGATTCCGAGCTGTCTGGAAACACGGAATCCCAAGTCCGTAGCGTTGGGTTAAGAATTACAATCTTCTCAACAATTAAACGGCATCTCTCTTGCTTCATCTTGGCTCCCATAAACCACTCAATCTTTCCGTTGACTGTGTCTATTGCCTCTTACACGCCACCGTCTCATTGGTATCTGAACTCCTCGGAATCGTCACTATTCCCCAAACAATCGTCTCTCCGAGGGCTTGATTGACTTTTCAATCTCCCTTTCTTCTCGTGCCAATGCCCGTCATGTCGATTGACAAACTTACACCGTCTGCTGCGGCACCTCCCTCTGATGATAATGTCCTCTGGAGGCATTCGGATCCAAAGTCCACTCACATGTGGAAGTTTCTTGAGCACGTGAACAAGAAGCATGGTTTAAGTCTCGATGGTTACCCAGCACTGTACAAGTGGTCTATCGATGAAGTTGCTCAATTCTGGGAGGAAGTTTGGCATTTTGCTGGTGTTACAGCATCAAAGCCCTTTGATGAGGTATGAAAGCCAAGTTATGAGAGGGGTGTCTCAAGTGAGAGGTTACCGGACTCAAGATTCACTCAATGGGCTAAACAACCCCAGAACTCAACTAAACATCTCTGCAGGTCCTTCCTCAAAATGCTCCTATGTACCCTCGACCAGACTTCTTCTCGGGCTCACGTCTCAACTTCGCCGAGAACCTCCTCTTTCCCGCAACCTCTCCACTTCCCGAGCCCACAGCTCCAGCTGTCATCACCGTTACTGAGTTGCCAAACTCCACAGTGACTACTTCATGGGCGGAGTTGCGTGAGGCGGTCCGTCGTTGTTCTAATGCCCTGCGTGCAGCTGGTCTTAAGCCCAATGATGTTGTTGCGGGTTTCGTCTCAAATCATGTCGAAGCGCTGGTTGCTATGCTTGCTGCCGCCACAATCGGCGCCATTTGGACTGGTATAAGTCCTGATAACGGTGTCTCAGCTGTGCTGGACCGTCTGAACCAGATTGCGCCCAAGGTGCTATTTGCCGATAACGGCACAGTCTACAACGGCAAGGAGTGGTCTAGTGTAGCAAAGACGACTGAGATTGTGGCTGCATTGAAGGACAAGGGGCTTGAGAGAGTAGTTGTGATTAACAACATCAGCTCTGGTGGACTTGGTCTTGAAGAGCTTGAGAAGCATGGCGTGTTGGCTGTTGATTACGCCAAGATGCTCGAGTCTGCTTCTGAAGACCCCTTGAAGTTCGAGCAGCTTCCTCCAGCTCATCCTCTCTACGTTCTCTACTCCAGTGGTACAACTGGCCTCCCTAAGGCCATTGTCCATACAGCTTTGGGTACGCTGCTGCAGCACAAGAAGGAGCATCTTCTTCACTGCTCACTCGACTCGTCATCTCGAATGCTCTACTATACGACTACTTCCTGGATGATGTGGCACTGGAGCATTGGAGCCCTTGCCGTGGGCTCTACTATCATTGTTTACTCTGGCTCTCCTTTCCGCCCTCATGCTCACCTCTCACTCCCACGCCTCCTCTCTGACCTCAAGGTCACTCACTTCGGTACCTCGGCCGCCTACCTGACTGCACTAGAGGCCAACAACATCTACCCTATTCATGACGAGTCGATCGATCTTTCAAATCTGCAAGCTATTTATTCGACTGCTTCACCTCTCCCTCCATCAACCTTCAAGTTTGTCTATGAAGCCTTCCCCAAGCATATCAACCTCGGCTCGATTACTGGTGGAACAGACATTATCTCACTGTTTGGAGCCCCTTGTCCACTCCTCCCTGTCCGCGTTGGCGAGATCCAGTGTGCTGGTCTTGGTATGGCTATCCGTGCTGTTGACTCCGTCACAGGCGAGCCCATCAAGGCCGATGAGCCAGGTGATCTCGTCTGCATCAAGCCTTTCCTTTGCCAACCCCTAACCTTTTTCGGCCCCAACGGCGAGGCCAAGTATCAATCGGCTTACTTTGAGAGATTCGAAAACATCTGCGGCACTGAGGGCGCAGTATGGCATCACGGTGATTTCGTCAAGATTCCCGACCCTGCAACCGGCAGCCTTGTCATGCTTGGACGATCAGATGGTGTGCTAAAGCCATCAGGGGTGAGATTCGGCTCGGCCGAGATCTACAACATTCTCACACGCTTCTTCGCATCTGAGGTCGAGGATGCAGTCTGCATTGGACGTAGACGGGAGACAGACTCAGACGAGACTGTATGTCTCTTCGTGGTGATGGTTCCTGGACATGAATTCAACGATGACCTGCGCCTAAGGATTAAGGCCAAGATCAAGTCTGAATTGAGCCCTCGCCATGTCCCTGGTGTTGTAGAGGAGTGTGGAGGCGGCGTGCCAAAGACTGGCAATGGGAAGAAGTAAGTCTACCCCTCAAGAATCTCCATACGATGTGTGATGTTAACATTCAACGCAGGATCGAGGTTGCAGTGAAACAGATCCTTTCTGGCATGAATGTCAAGACCAATGCCAGCGTTGCCAACCCTGAAGCACTAGATTGGTTTAAGAAGTGGGCAGAGACTCACTAGATAAGTCCAAATAGTTTGTGGGAGTTATATCTTCGGCCGGAACTAGATAAAACATTGTCTATGGGATATGGGAGGCTACTATGGGTTAGATATGATGGCGTCGATAACGAAGTGACTGGCTGATTTCTTGTTTCGCAACTACACCTCCTTAACTGCTCAATACGTCGTCTCTTATAAAAGTGCTCTCCGTGCTAAATCCCCTCTGTTATGGGATATGATATCACCTTGCCGCCTGGCTCCAACAAAATGGAACCCAGCTCTTAAAGGTTGATGAGAGCGAATGAATAGATCAGGAGCTCAACAACGTATGAATATCGCTGGACAGTTTAATGAACATTGCAGTATCCAAGCACAATGACAGAATGAAGTTGACAAGAAATCATTTCACATTAGTAATACTGTTCCCAAATCTATGGTATACCCTCCATGCATTGCGCGCATATGTCCGCTAAAACTCCACCAACATGACACATAAAGACACTATGTAGTTTCTTCAGATCTCAAGCTCAAAAGTGTACACTTCGCTTTTTCTGAACCTTCTTCCGCTTCTCTTCGTCCTTTCGACTACTGAAGAAACCACTGACACTTGCTGCCGCCGGACCAGCATAGGGACCCTGCAATAGACCGCCCAAACCGTGACGTTTCTTTCCGTTCTCACTGGGGCCTGGCTGAGCTTGCGAAGGAGGAGGGGCAAAGTTTGGCTGAGGAGCGCCATACGGTGTTGGTCCAACACTGTTGGGTCTTTGGGGTAGATTGTTTGGGGGGACGTTCAATGCGCCTGATGCAAACTGCGGTCTTGGAGGTAAGGGTGGTGATGGGTGACCCGGGCTCGTGGGACTCTGGAAGTCTTGCCCAGCCATGCCGTATTCCCGACGGAGCCTCTCAGTTTCTTTGTCGACCTCAGCATCTCTCTTCCGGCGCTCTTGCTCCTCAGTCTCAAGCATCTTCTGGATTCTCTTGCGTTCTTCCTCCTCTTGCTCTTCACGCTCACGTCTTTTGCGTTCCTCCTCTGCTACCATTGCTTGTAAGCGCCTTGTTTCCGCTTCGACCTCAGCTTCTCGCTGGGCTTGGTTGTTTGACTGCTGTGGAGATGCTTGTGTACGAGGAGGCGATGACGGTCGGTTGTTGTTGAGAGCACCCGCCATTGTCGGGCCTGCCGAGGAACTTGCTGCTGGGCGAGAGTTCTGGCGACGCCGGCCATTAGATGAGGTTTGGAGGTGGAATGGATCCTGGCTCGGGTTCAGGTATAGGTCTTTGATGGTCTCAGCGCTCATAAGAAGAGCGATCTCAAGACCCCGTCGATCCTCAATTTCAACGCGGGCCATGTTGGGTTCATAGATGGTCAAAGTCGAGTCATGCTTAGCACGGAAAAATGCCACCGTAATATCGGGTTCCTTGCTCTTCTTTCCACCCACGTTTCTTCCTGTCATATAGCATGTCATGTCCTTGCTTAGACGACCATCACGTTTCCAGCGAAACACAACCTTGGGAACCAACTCGGTTAGAGATGGACGATCCTCCTGGTCAATCTGGCTAGTACTGGGTAGCTTAAAGGATCTCTCGGGAAGCTCAAACTCCCAAATACCCGTCTTTCTCCAACCTCCCGAATGTTGCTTGACAGGGATAGCTTGATCTGGGTTGTATAGTGAAACCGCAAAATTATCTGGGATGATAGGGGTCTTGGGCGGCGGGTTTCCGTTTTGCGCTCGGATTTCAGCAGCAGATAGAGTGGGCGCTACCCAGTCAGGCTTGACATCGACCTCTGCGTATATCACGGATGTATTCTGAGAGTCGAATATACCGAGCGCATATTGGCCATTGGCGTCGGAAGGCGACGGTCGCTTGATGAGGTACTCGGGCGCAGGATCTGATCCATTGTGTGTGAAGTAGAGAATATTGTTGAGTGGGTTCTCTGAAGAGGTCTTGAAGCGATATGTCGGGAGGTTTTCGTCAAGCATCTTGCCAACTATATTGGCTGTCTAGAGCTCAATGCGATTGTTAACTTGGTGTCGCAGAGCTCATACGTGGGATGACGTCGTAGCCCGTCCGGTGTAACACAAGAGGTATAAGAGGGTGTAAGTCGTAGGAAGTGAGTCGCTTGTGGTTCAGGAATTACTCAAGTAGGAATTTGAGGAAGAGAGATAGTTATACGAAGTTGCAAGGAAAAGTCCGACAGACAAGACAATTGCGCGGCAGGCTGAGACTTGGAGGCGGGGCTGCCTTGAAGCAGATACAGCTTGTGACTGATTGGGAAGGGTCACAAGGACTTTAAAGACTTGGCTGATGAATAGGTATCAAGACAATCAGATAACAAGCAACAAGCTAGATCTAAGGGAATGAATTATTCTCGAATAACACAGAGACAAAGAACGTTCCTCTATTTATTGATTGACTACTAGCTAATGGAAACTACGAGTACTCGGTCTCGCATTAGTGACGTACCAAATCCGCCCAACGCCACAACCGATACTCAAAGAGGCTGTGCAGATTCTTTAGTGTCGCCCAAGTGTTACTATTCTAGTCCAGCTCCCTGTCGTGTACATACATCGGTTTGCGACTGTCCGACGACGCGAAGCCTCAAAGATCGACTTCTAATGGCGACTCTACCAATGAGTGATGCTGAGAATATTAAGCATGTTCATCTCCCTATACACACGTGTTCAATGAGAAGCAAACTGTTTGAGCCTCATCCTTTGCGTCAGCTTTGGACCTGATATTTCATTCCATTGCGTATACAAAGATCACATTATCAGATATGCAGGGTATGATTCGTTATTCTAGAGAACTGATACTCTCTACTTTCATCTCTTTGTCTAATAGACTGCGAAAGCGCCATGAGATGCCTAAAATTTCAGATGCTAGTTCATGCCTGCCGTGGTGTAGCCTTCAAACAGTCCCAAATACATACATCGTCCCTGAACGCCCTGTATCCAATGCAAATTCAAATGCCATGTCCGTTTTGGTGCGCCTTCTTGTGAATTTCATGTCATAGTCCACCTTTAAGGATGTAAGTAGATTCGGCCTCCTCTACTCCCCTCGATTGCAAATTTGCCCTGCTTATGCGTAGCCATCGTCCCGCTTCCCCAGGCTCCCTCATGCCAGGTCAGCAACACGAGATCTGAACTTGGCCTGGCACGAGTAATTGCAATAGTTATATCCAAGGCCCCTGTTTCGGGCGCGCGGCTACAAAGCCCTTCCATCAGACCTGTCCATTGCGTTAATGGGCCTATGTGTGCTGAGCGATGTGAACAAAGCCGATGATTCTGAGTTCTATGCATAAGCTTCTTGCATCTATTCGTGTATTCGTATCGTATTATATCGATCTTGAAAGCTCTCTTCGTTCAATGTCGTTTTTCGAAAGTTGTCGCAAGTGAAATGGTCACGGCCTCTCTTTCGGTTAAAGCATCAGCTTGCCGAAGCGAAGCCCTCCTCATATCCATGATCCAGCTAAGGCCAGCGCTATGCAGGAGGCACACGGCTTGTTGCGTTTTCTTCTTCATCTGCTGCGGGGGGTCCTCTGCGCCTTCGTTGTCTTCGACGCTGATTTTGGAGTCGTGGTCGACAGCATGGGTACCAACAGCAAACGAAGCATGCGACAACCAGGCCAATGGCGAGACCGATCAGAAAGCCACGCATGATTTTCTCCCCATTAGAGCCTCCCTTGGCGATGCCCATGAACTTATCGCGGAACAGGTCATCTGCAAATGAATCTGAGGGATAAACGTTTCCCGTGGTGCCTGAAGACGAAGACTGGTCGGTCTCTGGCGATGAGGAGTGGTCGCCGCGGGGCATAAGAGCCCATAGTGGTGAGGTAGGCATGATGCCGAGATCGGGGATCACACAAGGCCAATGTGGAAGTAAGCAAGTGAATTGCAAGAGAATTAAGCTTAAAATTCTCTTGATATGCTTGGCCGATCGCAGAAATGAGAGAAAGCTGTGACACCTGAGAAAACGAGGAAGTGGCAGTTGTCGCTCATATGTCCGGATGATCCGAAAGATGAACCGGAGCGGTAGCTACGGAGGGACGGTGTTGGGGGATCGACGATAGACAACCGGAATAGTGTATTTTATTGGAGGATTGTTGAGAGATGAGATAAAGTAGAAGCCAAGGACCGGATAACAGATCGAATAAAAATGTCGAGAAGCTGATCGCAGCAGTTCGTGAATCGAGTCGTCAAAGATGAAAATTGTCAAACCGTCAATAACTCAGTGTGATGCAAGGTGGAGATGAAGGTGAAAACAACGACAGTGATCAACAGCCTCTCAAAGTGTTATCGTTATCATGAGCAAACAATCACATTCCGCGGGACGAAAAGGGTTGAAGTGAAAGAATCGGCGTTTGATTTGTCTCCGGAAGAATCAACTTGTAACAAAGCCAAGATTCGAAAATCTGGAGGTTGAAGAAAAGTGATGGAGACCTGCGTACGTGTGCCTGGGGGTTGGAATTGAGGAAACAGCAGCTTCACCTTCCGCTAAAACGCTCAAACAAATCGGCATGGCCCCTCTTTCTCCAAAGAATCCAGGCAATCCACGCAGGGAAAAGACAATGTCCCTGGCAATTTAAGTGGAAAGCGCAGGGAGTAGGGGACTTCCCGTCCGGGGTGCACCTTCCGTTTGGGCTTTGGGGTGAGTATGTGGTTTACCGTTTGCTATGGCCTTCTCCCCGAGGGTGCTGTTCTCCCTTGGCCCTGGCTCTGTCTCCCTTTCTCTTCAATATGTTCTGTTTTACGTGCTTTAACTTGAGTTATTCTGTCCTTTCTGTCTTTACTGCCCAGTCCATCCTCTTCACGTCTTCTCAGGACGGGCGCCAAGCCGTTGCGGGTTCAAGCAGCCCATTCTTTACTCCGTACAATGCTTAAAATCCACAAGAACGTCAGCGCCAAGAGATGATATACAGACTGCGTTTGTAGCTCCAAGATGTTCGTGAATGTATGCAAAAGACAAACAATCAGATGATGTTCCTGATCAACTTCAAAGAACTCTCTCCACAACTGGTGTGATCATTTTACAAACCCTTATTGGAGATATCGTTTTTCTTATCCTTGCCAAAGGTTAATCTTCTAACCCCAGTCACTTCACTGCGGACCCCAACACGTCATGCCAATAGCGGACTCCCAGTTGCTGCTGGTTGGCCGGCCCGGCTTTCAACGCTCCCCCGCAGGCCCGAAACCGCGGGGTGGCTGATAAAGTCGGGGGAGATATCCCGCAACCTAAGGAAAATGACTCGGCCGCATGAATAATGTCCGACCTTGTCTGTCTTTTATATTGGAGAATCTTGGGGTCTTATGGAATCAGTTGCAGAATTATGGACATCGTCTCTTTTCGATTGGGCGCATCAAAACAATCCATGCAAGAGACCAGTCTCGACACTTCGGCTAAACATACTTGGCTCTGATTGTCGAGAGGCTTATCTTATGCTTATTTCCTGACACCCAAATCGGGATATACGATCCGTCGTCGCCGCAAGACTCTTGCATGGCCTGAGGGAAATGGGGAACGCAGCAAAGTTGATATATATGAACTAGGGGAGGCAAGAATACTGAGAGCTTCCATCCTGAATAATAGAAAGACTTGGGTAAATTCAACTTAAGTTGGTAGGCCTTGGGACTAGTTATTTTTGGTGCCTTACTTAAAGGTCAGAAGTTGCTTGCTCCCTCAGGACAAGGCAGCTGCTGGCACACCGCTCAAGAGTCTTCCCATTGTGAAGAACCTAAAACTAATACTGCATCCAGTGGATTCTATCACAGCCAACTCCCTTAACTTCTTCATGGAACGTGTGTCCCCCATTACATCCAATCGATAGCTGATTTCAAGAAGAACCAGGACTTCGGAGGCACATATCGAAACCATGTTAACGTATGAGAGATTTGGTGTATCCATTTGCGTGTTGAATCTGTTGAAAAAGCAGACCAATGACGCGAATTGGAGGGTAGGTGACCATCAACCCGTATAATATTGAAAAGGCACTTTAATGTATTTTCAATGACAAGCTTCGAGTCTTCGTTGTGGGTATAAGTTCCTGGAAACTGATATATACAAAACAACCACCTGTTGACGTCCAATATTATAAAGGGACTGGTGTTTAGCACCAGGTGCTTCAACTTCTGCCTATTGACGTATAGCTCTACTATCGAAGGGTTGAAGAACGGAAACTTCTTAATGCTTCCGTTTCCCCTTATGATATCCTCTCACAATTGCCCACTGGCTTTGTCAACCATGTGATTGAAAGGAACCGGGCCGCAGAGAGTGTAACAGTTTGAAGACAAACAGAGAGGATTTCCGGTAACAGCCCCATAATACAGATCGAAGAACTTTGCGAATGTTGAAGATGAACGAATAGAAGCATGTGTCTGGAAGGCCGCAAGAAAAAGCCTGCGTAGCAGGGGGCGTTTAGGCTGTAGACAAGGCGTTGTCGTGCAACTGAGCTTTCAGTGTGTATATTGTTGCCTCTTGATTTCTTGTCAAGCGGTTTCCCTGATGCAACATTCGCTCGGCGATTTCTTTGTGGCTCGTGTCCTCATCCGGAGTGTAGCACTCAATTGGGCTCCCGTGTGTTCTGAGAGGTTTCATGTCACGTAGAGGGATTGACATGACATTTCGACGCTTGTGCGCTGTAGCTGGGCGTACATAGGCAAGATCACCGGAGAACATTTTAACTTGATGGAGATTTTAAGGACATCACAAATGGGATGAGGATACGAGAGAGGCGGTTCATTATTGTAAGAGAGGGGAAATGGCGTTGGGCTGAGGAGCTGACCTATTGTCAACTGCTTTGGGATATGCGTCCTTAGAAACTCGACACTTGGGCCGCCAAACATCAATATTGCCGCCATGATTCTTTGTTGGTAAAATTGTTGAAAGGATAAGTCAATGTTAGACTACATCTCATTGATTCTCTCAGTAGGCCCTGCTGTGCACCAAATTGCGCATCGTACCTATGTATGTATGCATCGTATTCAAATTTTAATACGAAGAGCAACTTGCAGTGTCAAAGTTGAACAACACATCCATGATATACGTCAAGTGACAATTAATAAATGCTGTTTCATGCTGTGAAACAATCCATCAAATTTTATCTGTTGAACCTGCAAACTGCCGCTTATTAGCCTCTCAGGCTGCTTGATGGAGGTATCGTTCTACCCGCTCGGATCGCTTTTCATGTCAAGTCAATGTTGATCAGAACATACCCAGGCATGTATGATTCTGATTTGTTTTGGTTGAAGGGAGAAATGCCCGGGCTTGAGGTGAAGACATTGTCTAGGTAGACTCTGCGGCTAGAATATCCCTTACAGTAGATCCCCTGTCGATCAGGTCTTTTAAGGAATTGTTATTGATAGACAGGACAAGGGTAATGTTTCCTCAACGTACAATCACAACCAATGTTTGAGTTACATTCGCGTTCCTCAGATCCTTTATGCTACGGACAATCTAAATCCGCCGTATGTACACAGACCAAGTAACAAAAAGCGATGCACCGAAATCTGAAGCAACGGAGCTTCCATGCTTGGACACATCCGTCTAAGCGCGCATCCTTTTTAGGTGCACGTCACAACAGATTTGGAACATTGCAATCAATCAGAGAAACAGTCTAGCCTTGAAAAACAAACACTTGAACGATCAATGTCCGTTTTATTGAAGAACCTAGAATGTAGATCCTGACAACGGCGACTAACCAGGATCTCGTCCCACAATGGCAGGGCAGAGCAAGATGCCTTATAAATAGATAAACTCCTGCCTCTGTTTATTCCTGCCTGGGCTGCGGAAGGGTGAGCATACAACATCATTAAAATGCGCTTCTCGTCTATCTCGACGGCTCTTCTAGGCCTCATCGGATCGGTCAATGCTTTCGGTGGTATCGCTCCTGATAGTAGACAGTTCAGAACCCTGGAGCGCCATGGCCTTACTGTCTTCAAGCATGCCGCTACTAATTCGAAGCTTGAATATGTGACCAATTCAGGAATCTGCGAGACGACACCTGGTGTTGAGCAATACTCTGGATACTTGTCAGTTGGTAAGTCGATCATATTTAATACCCCCGAGGTCCTTGCTAATAAATCTGATATAGGGAAAAATCATAGCATGTGGTTCTGGTTCTTCGAAGCTCGTCACAATGCTGCGAAGGCCCCCCTCGCTATCTGGCTCAACGGTGGTCCTGGATGTTCCTCGATGATAGGCCTCTTCACGGAACATGGGCCTTGTCATTTTGTCAATAACGATACTGAGCCAACCCTCAACCCTCATTCCTGGAACGAGTATGCGAACATGCTCTACATCGATCAGCCAATCGGTACTGGCTTCAGCGTTGGAACTGAAGATGTCAACTCAACAGCACAAGCTTCCCCTTATATCTGGAAGTTTATGCAAGTCTTCCTAGACCGATTTCCAAAGTACAAGTCTCGAGAGTTTGGTCTCTTCACGCAATCCTACGGTGGACACTATGGCCCTGAGTTCGCCGACTACTTCCTCAAGAAGAATGACCAAATTGAGAAGGGTGATGCCGAAGGCCACAAGATCGATATGGTAGCGCTGGGCATCAACAACGGCTGGATCGACCCTAAGCGGCAGTTCAAATCCTATGCAACATATGCGAACCGTAACCCTTACAAACAGATTCTTGACAACAAACTTCTCACTCGTTTCATCGACGCCTACAATAAGTACTGTTTACCCGTCATTAACAACTGCACCCAGCTTGAGGGCCAAAACGATGAATGTGCAAAGGCCGATGATGCATGCAATACCCAAATGTACACGAACCTTGAGATTGCAGGCAAAACCGACTTCAATGTTTACGATGTGCGTATCGGCAGGGATGATGTCAATCCACCAGAGACGTTTCTTGAGTATCTCACGCAGGCCGAGGTTATGGATGCGATTGGAGCCAACACCCGTTTCGCCGAGTGCAGTGACGCAGTTTATGCAAACATGGCGACGACGGGAGATGGTCAGTGCCCTAGCAACGACGAAGTTAAGGATTAATGCTGACATGGTACAGGTGCGCGTTCATATGCCGGGCCTTTGGCAGACGTCGTGAAGCGTGGTATCAACACGCTTATATGGGCTGGAGATGCTGGTAAGTGGGAAGATTGTGACACAGGTAAAACAGAAGCTGAATGAATCTCACAGATTGGATCTGCAACTGGGAGGGTGTCCTATGGGCATCTTATGCGCTCGAGTGGCCTGGCCAGAAGAAGTTTGTGGCAGCGCCCTTCAGCAATTACACGGTCAACGGCACAGCCCATGGCCGATACAAGACGGTAGAAAATCTGTCCTTCCTCAAGGTCTGGGAAGCCGGGCATTCAGTGCCATATTATCGTGAGTACCCCTGGCATCGCCCGAGATCACCGGCTGACAACAGAACAGAACCTGAGACAGCACTGCAAGTGTTCAAGCAGGTTATGCAGAAGAAGCCGATTAAGGGGACCTAATGAGATGAGAGCTCCGTAGAACTGATGTTTTTTTCAAGGCGTTTAGGTAGACGGAACCCTAGAACCACCAGGTCATGGTATTCATAATGCATAATATCATTTCAATGTTTCATGCTTGTACCACCAGACCCTAACCATTGAGTATTTTGCATTCTAGACATCCTGCCTTGTTCTCGTAAATTCGTGTTTACATGCAAGTAAGATACCAAAGTAAATCGTACGCCAAGGTCGTACAGACAAATAGTGAATATGTAAGATACGTTCCAAACTCCCCGTGCCATGCGGTTCCTTTGCTTTGCTTTTCGTTTATGTTACTGTGGCTTGACCTTTTCGAGACGCAGATCATTGATGACCATGTACCGGCTGAGAGTGATCCAGCCATAGCGGAACCAGACCATCTGGCTTCTGTGCGCTTGGGTCATGGCGCTCCAAGCAGTGCCATAGGCACCACGACCAACAAGCTGGTTCATGAATACCAAGCTTTCGGGTCGCTCCTTGTCCTTGTCCTTGACACCGATGGACGAGAGTAGCGTGGGAACAAAGTCCATGAAGGCGGAGTACTTGCGCACAATGCCTACGGTGGAAAGGGTATATAGATCGACGGGGCTCGGCCACTCGGACGCAGTGGTAAGAGCCTGAATGAAGGATCGGGCACCCAGGTAGAGAGAGATATGATTGGGGTGAGAAGACACGCCGTTGCTGTCAAATGTAACGAGGATGTCAATGTTCGCGGTAGGCTTGAGATTGTTCTTACGCTCCTGGCCGAATTTAGGCGCAAACGTGCTTCCTAACAGACGAGCGATCAGGTTTTTGTCCCACATTCGCGTCATGGAGTCGGGGAAGTCGGTGCTATAAGTGAGGCATCAGTCAGTTTTTTGAGCCGCAAGTGCCGGTGCCAGTGACCAGGGTATTCAACATACGGGTTGTCGACCACAAAAACATCGTCCTCGCTCTGCAGTCCCAGCGCCAGGCCGCTCTTGACCAGCTCCTTCTTGCGAACTTCTCCTAATCCGTCGGCATCTCCTATAACACGCCAAAGTCACCATCAGCCAAAACTGCTTTCAACCAATTTGTGTAGTCGCATCACGATGCGACGGCAAAGCACGGGTCGCTGCAGTCGGCTCATACCAGTGCTTAGGCATAGAATCTTGACGTGGTTTCCGTTCTCGGGCCGTGTGAGGGCGAGGACGGTCGGGGAGAAGAACATGGCTTCGTCGTCGGGATGCGCAATCAGGAGACAGACTCGCTTGTTCTTGATGGTCGATTGGGCAGTGCTGGCTGTGAACATGTAGATGCCTGGCACCACAACGGCGAGGCCGGCGAAGATGTGAAGAACGTTCATATCTGTGGTCGCTTCGAATGCGGTGGTGCTACGGTTACTTTTGCGACAAGAGTGCCAGAGAACTGCGACTTCGGCTATTGGGTACCGGATGTATGTGGATGATGATCGCTACAGCAGCGCAAGGTCTATATGGGCTGTGAGCAGAGACTAGAAGCTACACCAAGGTCAATTGGATTGTTAGAAGCGAAAACTTGGCTCCTATCGGAAGCTGGTCGTGACCCGGGTCATAAACGAGTTGTGATGACTGAGACAAAAGTGGCACGAGACGCGAGAAATAACAAGTGAAACTTGGTCATGGAGGGGCAGGAGCTCACGAGGTCGCAGATGCCAATCGCTAAGGCAACCCCCCATAGACTTGAGCCTAACGGTTCACCGCCTCACTAGACTGTCCCAATACCTTAGCTGAAGCTCAAGGAGCCCCTCAATTTACAGAAGGTTGGGTAGTGGCGTTGAGCACGGCAGGGCCCGAAGCTTCCATTCCGGTGTCATGAGCTAAGCCCATTAGGGTAACCTGTTGACGTTGACGTTCACGTTAACCTAGGCTCCTGAGGGTTAACTCCAACTTTGAACTTTAGTCCAAGAGCTTCATCTTACGACACAATCACCATCAACAGCCGACCATGGCCCGCCAACGCAAGGAAAAGTCTGTCAAGGACATTAAACTTCAGCAGCCAGATCGATCTGGTCCCAATAAAGAAACACTCGTCGATTTTGCGAAGGGTCGCGACCTCTTTGCAGAAGCCGATCGCAGACAACGCGAGCTCAACGGCGAAGGACCCCTCTTGTCCCCTCGAACAGAACGTATCTTCGAGACAATACTATGGACTGGTGTCATTGCCACTCTGCACTTTACGTTTGATGTGCTGGTACAGCGGCAATATGCTATGGACGTTGACTGGCTCGCCATCGTCCAAAGGACATTGACAGCCTGGCTTTGTGTGTTATCTGCCATCTATCGCAATTCCCCTACTAACATGATGTGTTTTTAGTGTTCATCGGCCTCTTTTACGTGTTACATCCGCATTATTCCCAAAAGTCATTCTTCCCGCTCGTTCCTCAAGACTACCAAGAGACTATTCGTCAAGCCATATTCTTTGTCGCGAGCACCTTGGGCGGCTGCTACCTCATCCACATCAGCAACAACTATGGATACATAGCAGTCATGAAACAAGCTCCTCCTGTGGGCTGCTTGTGGGTATGGGCAGTCGTCGAGATGGACATCCTTTGGGCGTTTCCGAGTCTATGCATTGCAGTTGCATATGCCTACAAGAATGGATACGGCTTCCGATAAACAAAGTCTATTCTTCTGTGGACTTCTTGGGCTTAATTGTGTCTCCCAACTCAGATGTTGTGGCGGAACCGCCAATCTCAGCCGACTCGGTTGACTCGGCGCTCTTGACTGCGAGATCTGTCAAGGTCCCGGCCCTCGAAAGACCGGAACGATCACGATGTGTCAACCGGCTTACCAGGTCTTCCAACCGGTGGATCCTATCCCTCTGGTTCTCAACTAAAGACTCGAGTTTGCGCGAGCTCTCATCCATCTTCATCTCTCGCCATTTCGTCCTAGATTCCAGATCTCGTAATCGAGATGAGATCATGCTCATTTGCATGAATTGCACTCTCGCTGTCAGGCCCTCTCGCTGTCTCACTAGCTCCAACGCTTTCGTCCTCACTGGCAGCCATGCCATGGCCACTGTTGTACGCCCATTCCAATGCCTTGGCATGAGTGTCCATGATTTCCCTTCGTCGCCAACGCTCGCCTTGGCCTCCGTCTCCGCGACAATATCAAGAAGACGCTGCTCCAGATTCAATAGATCATCCATGACAAAATTATACATCTGATATTCGGGTTGGTGTGTATGGAAACCCTCATGTTGGGCATTTATGGCTGCTACGAGATCCGCCAGCCAAGTGGATTCAGTTTTGTACCACGACAAAGATGTTTTGACGCGGAAATACTCATCGTCGCTATTTCGAAGAAATGTCAGACGAGCATAGAACGCTGCGGCAATGGCAACGACAAAGGTCAACATGCCCGCGACGTTGGCGCTTATAGAAAGCGGCGAGTCTTGCTGGCCATCACTGGAGTCCATTGAGCCTCACAGGCCGGGCAAAGAGGTGTTGAGGGAGGGGATCAAAGTTCTGGTGTATGTTACGAAGAATAGAATCTTAGCAAGCACAATTTGAATCACCATATGTCAATGGCATGAGTAAAGGTCTAGTGCAGCTGAAACCCCTGGGCAGCCATTGGCCATTCACGTGATGCGACACGTGATGCTATATGTGAATGAGAGTCATTTCATGCTGTAACCATGGGAAATACACCGCAGAGTAATCAGGCTCAACAGAAGTGGACATGGGTAAATGATGATTTCATGTATCTAGGTCAGAATATGACATGCTTCGTATATAATTCGCTATGTAATGCACCATGCAATAACACCTCCTTATCATCAGTAGAATCATACTGGATATCGTCATCTATGCGAAAAAGAAAATGCAAACAAACCCGCTTTAAAATGAGATCATCCCCTACCTCGGAGCTCTTCCCCTGCTGGGCCGTGTCGAATCAGCAAATGTGATACCTCGTCGACCAGGCGGCACTCTCTCGGTGCCCTCGTCATCACTATCATCACCTCCGTTGCCTACACCCAGAGCAGCTTCTCGTCTCCTCCTTTCAGCGGGCGTCTCGCCAGTCTCTTCCTCGCGCTCATCGTCCTCCTGGCTGGATAGAACTGCGAGACGACGCTTGCGTTCGACAGCTGTCTCGCCTTGCTCCTCGGACGGCTTGGGTGGGCTTGAAGGGCCTGCATGCCGGGAGGGAGATGCAGCTGGAGCGTCTGTTGCCTTCGCCTTCCCGCCAGAGTGATGCTCAGCAGCCTTGGCAACCTTGATTGCAGTCTCAGGTGGCAGATCCTGTTTGGCAACCTTCTTGACAGCTTGCGAGGCAGACGATTGCTCTACAACCTCCCTCCTTGTTCGTGAATCCAGCTTCTGTACTTCACGGATAAAGTCCTCCTTAGTCATGCGTTGACCAACACCGCCAATCGTGAATCGAATGGCCTTGTCATCGGCTGCTTGGTTCTCCGCAATAGACTTCTTCCGAGTCTGTTCATTTGAGCTGTTGCCTCCGAATACGCCTCCAAAATTGGTCCAACCAGGTTTGGCGGCTGTCTTCTCGCCGGGTGTGGTGCTAGGACCAGCTTCTGAGTTCTCACCCTTGGTCGTAGGCAGTTCATAGGTTTTAACGACTTCACCGTCCTCGTCTTCGACAATAATCTATGTTTTGTTAGTTCAATCTCTTGATATAATCCTATGAATGCACGTACCGTGTTTCCAAACTGGTAGGCTCTGGCAGGTTCGTGTCGTCGATCTTGGCCCTTTTCCTTACGCTTCTCCATTTCAGTGTTGTAGACTTCACCCACCCTCTTCTTGAAACCAGAGATAGTCCATAACTTGTCGTGGCCAGGCTTAACGGCTGTAATGGGCACATGGTCTTCGTCTTGTCTGTGAGATTCGGGAGCGGGTTCGACATCAAGAACTTCTCCATCCTTGTCCTCAAATATCAAATCATGGCCCTCCTCGTATACATCCACAGGCTTGGGGGGTGTCTTCTGGCCGCTGCTGCCGGCAGGGCTATCTTCTGCCTTCTCAATCTTGTCGGTATCCTTTTCCTTGGAGCTATCATCGGCCGCCAAAGTTGATTCGGTATTGCCTTGTGAGGGTGACTCCTCTTGCTCGTACTGTTCAGTAGGGGATATAGGCGTGGATGATTGTCGCTGGGGGAAGATTGCAGACTGGGCAATTGGTCCTCCAGGGCCAAGATTGTCATCCCAGTTCTTATGCTTGCGCTTTCGCGACACAACCGATGACGAGCGGCTGCCACCTTGGTCTCGCTGTCTGCGTAAAAGATGACTATAAGGGCCGTTGGGAGGAACCAGAGCATCGGGAGGGAGCTGGGGTCCCTTCTCTTCGTCGATGGACGCCTCAGATATGGATCTAGCTTGAGATCTGGATTGAGAAGAGATTCGGGGTAGTCGGTTCATCCAAGATGGTCCATCTTCGGGAGCAGCTGTGTAAGACATGGTCAAACTCAAGGTGTTGATACGCTTTCCAAGGGTAAAGACGGCAATTGAGGAGCCATGGACAAGAATCGACGTGACAACCATGAAGCATACTATCGGCCACACAAGATATATGAGCTCATAATGTTCAGTATTCTCGGGTGGCATCTCGGCCAAAGGTACCGGCTCGCCATGCTCCAACTCAGCTCGCGCCAAGATCGCAACGAAGATTGCGCCCACACCGATTGGGCCGAAATGACCAGCGAACAATGCTTCACGCCAGGTTTTGACGTCCGGTATAAACGGTTTGAGGGCCAGCATGATAGGAATCCGACGGAAGAAAAGGACAAAAACGGCGATGACCACAAGACGCCAAGCCATCATGCCAAATCGACCGTCGTTGAATTGCGACCACGGAATGATGGTTCCAAAGTAGACGAAATAAGTCAAGTTAAGCAAAAGATCGATAACGTTGGAAACATGCGACTCTTCAGTCTTCTCACCGAACCAACCGTCGTTGGAGAAACCAACTCCTGCTGCGAAACCGACGAGCAAATCGTCCATGCCCAGGATACTACCAGAGCCGGCACACCAGAGCGCAACAACGAAGTAGAAGACCAGGAAACTCTCTCGATCGATGAGGTCACGCTTTTCGGCGAATTTAATACCATGGCGAGCGATGTAACCAATGGCAAAACCATAGATGGCACCGAAGATGCACTCGTAGAGAAGAACATACACAACGAAATGGAAGCTCACGTCCTGTGCATCTCGCTTGTACTGAATAAGGTACAGAGACAGATAGATGAAGGGGAACGCCATTCCGTCGTTGCACCCAGACTCGGCGGACAGCAAATCTCGAAGATGCTTAGGGACTCGCTTTGCAAACTTGCCCTTTCCTACCACAGATGATGCCAGGACAGGGTCAGTAGCAGTAACACATGCAGCCACAACAAGACTATCAAGCCAATCCAATGCAGGGATCATCCAGAAGATGAACAAACTGACAATGAGCCAGCCGAATGTCATTACTGGGACCAAAAGAAAGACAACAGACTTCCAATGGCGCTCCATATAGAACTTGGGCAACTCGACACCGACAGCGAAACATTGAACAACAAGAACAATTCGGGAGAACTCGACGGTAACGATATCGGTCGAACCCCATTCTTGGGGATTGATCAAATTGGCTGCATGAGGACCGAATATAACGCCACAGAGGGTAGCAACTGTGGCTTCACCAATGTACATGCGCTCCTTGATAAAGGACGAGCAGAGCATGAAAAGGGAAGTGAAGCCGCCGAGGATAATGTACACCAAGTGCGGCTTGGTGATATCAAGATGACTCCACGCCATGTTGAATTGTAGGAATAAGGATACAAAAGGTTCGGTCGTTCGATTGGCCTTGACGGCACTCGATATTGGGTGTCGCGATCTCGGAAGCGATCAAAGCAACGTTATCGCAAGAGGGAGGAAATCGGGCGGCGACGCCGCGATCAATTATTGTTGGCAACTCGTATGGGAGAGCAGCGCAACATCCACCAGATCAAGTAGTAAAAGAGCGACAAGAGGGGAAGACCGTCAACAGAAGCAGTTGGTCTGGTCAATTGTTGTTGTAGGGAAGGGAAAGAATTTCTCAACGGCCGAGATCAACACGCAAGAGCGAACCGTTTGATCCCCGTCAATCGGCGCCAGGTTCGAAAATGGCACAGGCCTTGAACAGTGTCGTCACAGGGCAACAATGCCTGTAAAGTCGGGATCGTACGCCACTCGGCGCCACAAAGGTCTTGGCGTGGTGAGACTTATCGATATGAATCTGGAGAGTAGATAAGGTATTCTCAACAGAATACAACCATGAAACAATGACGATAGAAGTACCAAATCTCCAATGGCTTTCACCAAGGTTTTTGTTTTTAACCTCATCGGCTGGAGATTTGTGTCTCTGGAAGGGGGCGTCTTCTAGCGCTAAAGTCGAGGTTCATTGACGAGCAAGGGGATCGTCACCATCGACAGCCATCCATCCATCTCGCGACGCAACACAACCAGTGAACCACAAGGTCATGGCCAAGGAACAGGGGGCCCCAGTCGGGTCAAGTACCGCCAAGAGCCTCTCAGTGGGGGCTCCGCGGGGCCATTTGATGCGCCGCTGCTTTTATCCAGAATCTTCACGACACCCAAGCCGGACAAGACGGCAATATACCAAGACTTGAGAGGGTCATCGTGTTGTTCTATTCAGTATTTCGAGCTTCTTATTGAACAACAAGCTTTGAAAGATACTTATATAAGTTCAACCTAGTTTTGACCCTTCAAATCGAGACTCAAATACAGTTTCACGATAACGGCCTAGATCACATCTCAATAAGCCTTGTCTTACTCGTCACCTCGTCTTTTCCTCCATGCATCTCCCTTGTTCAACGCCATGACTTTATTTTCAATAACAACGGCTTGGTTCCACTTCTCGCCTCAACATCTTTCTCTAATACGCTATCCTATTGCTCACCCACATATGTACGCACTTGTCTTATATCAAATTTCAATGAGAATGGCATCCGAAGCCTAACGACGCCTAATCAATAGTCTCACAAAAGCAATCAGGTCGTGTTATGATATGATACGGGAACAACCAACGAGATATGCCACTAGCCGTTGATTGCTTGAATAGCCTCCAGCTGCCTCATAGACGATAAAAGCAGCGTTCGCATCTCATACCCCGGCAGTTCCGTGCAAGAGATAGAACCCTGTCCTTCGGTCCCCAATACGAATTGACATTTTCCCTCCGGAGAAAATGATAACAAAGAACAAGAATTGCGGGTAATGGATATGACAACCTGAAGACCCTCTAGCCAATACCTGTATTTCTTGGCACTATAGCATTCCCTCAATGACGACTTTGCAGCGCTAACCTCGGTTTTATTATTTCGAGTCATTCATTCATCGTCTCGAGTGGTAGACTGATCCGTAGCATGATCAGCGTCAATGATGAACATTAACGTCGAGCTGCATCGTCATCCAACGAGAATGTGCCCGTTCATAGCGTTTCTCGAGCTGCAAAAGGCGGCCGAAAGAGAAACGCCCCGGCTCTGTTTCCTCTCTTGATTTGTGCATCTGTTCCACTAAAATCTTGTGTGAACCACCATTCCTAGGTTCTGTTGTTTTTCGCACATGGTTTGAGGGTCTGTCAAATCAAGGTTATTTTTACCGCTCCGGCGGCCATAACCTTAGACAACCTTATTTCCCTGTCGAGCTGCGAGATCGATTTTATGCTTATTATTTGTCATGAAACGCCTGAGCTGCCAATGGTTGATAAACGGGATGTTGGAAACGGTCTAGTTAGGGTTCTTGGGGGTCTAGATCAGGAGCTTTTGGCCCTGGCCCTTCAACCTGTAAAGGTAGAATTGTTCAGGCAAGATTCCATCCAATGTCACCGTAAATCCACAAGATCAAATTGAACCCATTGACAGTCGCCTTGGTATATTGACGTCAGTGAGAACGATAGAAAACACGCTACCCTATTTCCAGCAAAGCTTCACGCTCTTTTCAACATGAATCTGGGTTTCTTAGCTCCACATCAATAACCGAAAGGTCAATACACCGCTAGTTCTGAAAAGAGATCTGCGAACCGCCTCTGCGACTTATGAGGGCATCATGTCTCACACGTCGTCTTACACGTTGTGGAGAGAGCACCAAACTTGAAGAACGTCAATTGACGTTGCATTTTCTAAGTCTTGGATATCTCTTGGAGATCTGATGGACCCTGGAATTTGGTGCAGCCAAGAAGCCCAGAGATGCACCCCAGGCTCGCCAGTCACTCGGCGCCAAGGGCCAAGCTCTCATGTGAAGTCGCCAAGAGGTAAAAACGCACCAGGTGGTGCAAATGCACAAGAGCATGATTTGACGATAGCTTCGTTTGTTGTCATGATGGAGTAATGCATATTTCGTGCTACAGAGTTTTATGAACACAACGAACTTACAGGGCGCCGCGCGAATGTGTTACTCGATCACAGTGAACGACTATGCGATTGACTTGAAGGGAAATGACTGGGAACCACACCCCATTTTCTTGGAATCACATGCATCTTAGGCCAGTCTCAAAGAATTCGATCTTGAAGGGTATTCTGTTATTTTCCGGCTATCTAAATACGTAACGACGTGAGTTTCTCTCACTTCCGTTGAGTTCTATCTCAAGTTGCTACAGAAATCTACCAACTCCCTCGGTCAAACAAGTACAGTGATCCTACACCCCTCAAAACTGAAATGAAATGATAGCTAACTCTCTCTAGTTGACAATCATGTACATGATAGCAGACATGGCAAAAGAAGCGCACATGAACCCAAAGCTGGGAGCATGAACAGAGCCACCAGCAGTTGTGGGCGTAGGAGTTGGCTCCTCGCTGGCTGACGCCGCTGTGTGGCTAGCAGTGCTCGGCCTTGTCACAGAGGTCATCATGCTAGGAGGAGCAGGCATGGGAAGAGAGCCGGTGGGCTGGTCTGTGTCGATTGCAAGAACAGTGCTCTTGGTCGCGAGGTCCTCGTCCACGGAAGACAGAGGTGGTCCATCTAGACTACCATTTGATTTTTCGTCTAAAGAGGTATGGCCAGTCTCAATCAAGACATTCTTCAAGACCTTGGTAGAAGAAGCAGAGGTCGTTGTTGTGGCTGGGGGCTGGGTCTTCTCAGGCTCAGGCTCCTGTTTGGGCTGAGTCTGAGGTACAGACTCGGGCTCTGATTGAGACTCATCAACATCTCGACAGAGAACAGCGACAAGGTTGCCCTTTTGACCACGGCTTAGAAGTGATTCTGAGCTGGCTGAGACATCACCACATGATGCTTGGATGAAGCCCTGGGCTTGTTGAACTGAGTCCTTGCAAGCAGCACTGCATGCCTTGCCATCGGTGAAGTCTTTGGGAGTGCATTGGGCGAGTGGTGTATCGTAGGCTTGAACACATGTCTCGGGGAATGACTTGTCACTGATAGACTCAAAGTCAGACAGCTTGAGGGATCCTGCTGAGGCAGAGCCAGCCATGAGAAGGAAAGACAGCTGGAGCCATCGCCTTGTAGATTGTCCAGTCATTGTGAATGATGTGTGTGGTTTTATGGTGAGCAGTAAGAGCTGTAGTTTTTCGGAAAAGAAATGCTTCGACGATGAAGGTATCGAGAGTACACGTTCAGTTATATGATTGACTGATTGTGGCTTGGCTCAAGCACGAAGCATTGATATCATTCGATCAATAATAAACTGGCAACTCAGTTGAAACGCGCTAGGGTGCTGAAAACCAGGCTGACGGGACCAACACACTGAAGGATTTGGTCTCGAACGACGAATTGAGGCTGTTCGTAGGCAAGAAAGGTTTATGCGTTGTGTTTTAGTGAAACTACCCTTGGGAAGATCGTTTCAGTGGCAAGATTGAGTATGAGCCTCGAACAGATGGGACGTTTGGGGATGGATCAAATAGATTAATTGTTTGTAAGAGACGGATCGGTTTTTTAATGATTCTGAAAATGGAAGGAATTTGATCGGCGTTTTGTGTTCAAGTGTTTGTGGAAACGGGAAATGAAGGCGTCGTAGGTGATGGTTGTCTCGATGTTGAGATACGCGACAAGTTAATTAATGAAGGTGTAATGCAAGCGATGATAATCGATGAAAAGACAAAGAGTGCGCTCGAATAAGTTAAAGTAGTAAAGATGAAAGAGAGTCCAAGTATTGTTTGTGTCTTGATGGAGTCAAGCGTCGAGTGTACAGTCTTGCAAGTGTAAGGCGAGGGAGCACAGCTTTCCTCTGGTTTCACAACTGAAACGAGTGTTGATAAGTGTTTGCTCCTCTGTCGAAAATGGGAACAAAGGAAGAGGTCTGAAAAATGGGGAGAAGGGGATTAATAAAAATGAAGGGGATGCACAAAATATCGGATAGATAGTATGGGGAAAGGGTTGAGGAAAAGGATGGAGAGAGACAAAGACGATCAGGGAGAGGGACTATAGACTACTATGGAGCATCTTTTTACAGAAGGAGATATGTAATGCACATCACTAGCTCAGAGTCTGGTCAAGACGGCGCATCACAATACAAAAGCACCGGCATGTCGTGAGAAGAGGGCCAGGCCATTGGATGGGCTCCGCAATGATCATCAGGGGCGTCTCTTGTCAAAGTCTGAGCCTGACGTCACACGAGCCATGAGATGTTGAAGTTGTTGTGTTTGCTCTTGAAACGGGAAGACCTATAGCATGCTGAGTACAGCATTCCTTGTACCATCTCGACAGCATATTTGTCCTCGTATTCTTTCTTCGAGCCCTCGGTCTAGACGAGACTGGATGAATTCAGGAAGAGAGAGAGAGAGTTTCTTCGAGAGACAGTTCACACGTCAGACTTGTTTCAGAACCGTTTGTTTCGGATTCATTCGTGCCGACGCACAGGCGAATCAAAGCCTCGAGCGGGGACGCCAAGATGATGCGAAAAAGGAAGAGAAGCTGCTCGAGTCAGAATTGCTTCTAGTGTGTAATGTATGGAAGGTTCTTTGACTATCGCTATAGTCGAAAACTATATAGCAATGTTTGCTCAAATATTATCGAATAGTCCTGCTGAGAAGGCATTATCGAGTCTTCATCCCAATACTTTGACCCTTTGAACCCCTGCAGTAATATTCGGGCCCAGAAATTGCATCCTTTGGCGGATCGAAAAGTGGAAATGCCGTCCCAACGGCGACATGGTACAATCAGAACGTGGCGCTGTAAACTTCCGACAAAGTACTCTTTTCATCTTCTCAGTCAGCTTACGAACACAATACGAGAATATTCACATCCAACAGAGAATTCTCAACATTCGTAGTCTGTTTGTGCTTGTTTCAAAATCCTCGGAAACCGTTCGGCAGTCATACAGATCAACACTTAGATCAGCTCCCTCTAACCCGTTTGCTCACACGATCGACTGGACTATTCCGCCAAGGGCACGACCCTTTGAATCAAGTCGCTCATTTGAGTAAAGACTCGACACATCAGGCAACGCGCTCCCTTTCTGCCTCGGCAAGTCAAGGGGGAGTTTGTTCCGGCAGGGTCAAAGGGTCGTTTGTCCTTTTTTGCATGAGACTTGTGATATCGTCATGCAACGGCTTTTGAAGCGTCCGGTCTGGATGAACACCCTAGCTCAGCCACTTGGACGCTAGTTCCAGGGGTTGTTTGCTGCCGCTAACACACATGTTGCCAGTTACAGGTAACACCAGAGCTTCAAAAGAATGCTAGCCAATGAGGATGTTGAATAGTATCGTCCCTTCACGGTCTAGACCTGACAATTTTGGTCTGGTTCGCAAACTTTATCGTTCGCAAACCAGTTGAGGACAACGGCTTTGTCTGTTCATGTTTCGAAGTCTGTCACTTGCCCCTTCGAGGTGCGCCTCTTGAACTTTCTTGGACAGTTGGGCTCCTTTTGGACGAGCCCAATCCCCTTCTGGTCATTTGACATTGACAGGGGCACTGGACTCAAGTTCAGCTCCCCTTGGGACGATGCTACCAAATCACGACTTCGACGTCATTGACGTGTGATATTACAAGGTGCTCCAAACATTCATTGATGAGACTGGACTTATACAGTGGGATCATCTTAGATTTCATCCTGTCATCTCCTCAGATCCGCCAAGTTGGCTCAGAACTGGAGTCTAATCTCGCCAAAGAAAGATCGACACTTCACTTTCGTCACCGCGATAAGAGGGAGACAGGGAGACTCAGAAAATTGCCCCTCGAAACTCAAGCTTTGGGTCGTATTCATACCTCCCTGGAAACTGAATGCTCTTCGCTTCGCAATATTGGCTGAGCGTCAGTTTACGTCGTGGTGATGAGAATGGAATGTTACGAAGCGGCAAAGCTCGGTCAATGAGTAGTCGCGGCAGGAGATTCGAGTAATATATTTAACATTGAAGGGTCGCTTCCATGTCAAAGCGCTGTTGTTGATATCTCTGTGTGTCTGCTGCGCTTTGAGGTTGGACTGTTAGCTGGCAGACTTTTCAGCTTGGGGTCAAGTACGAAAACTCTAAGATGCCTGTGGGCTGTGACTGCGCAACAGTCACTTAAATAAACCCATTTTCAAGGATAGAATTCCGTATTTCATCGGCCATTTTACTGTTATTACCAAGTCAATTAGGCATATCATTAGAACCTGTGCACGCGATTGCTGTTCTCAGCACTTACAGCACTTCACAGAATACTTGTACCAAGAGCCTTCAAAAGTTCGGGAATGCAAACAATTCGCCTGTTGGGAAGTGTTTGTTATTTTATGTAGGGCTTCATGACAATTTAGTCCGTGTTTCCAAAGGGAAAGATTTTGCGGTAGCTTTCTTTTAAAGCCGACGTTAACTGGAGATAATTGGTCATTTGCTATCTGTTGTGGCAATCGTCCTGCGAGAAGCCGTCGCGAGTCAACACAATGACATGATCCATGATTATCGCGGGAACCCCGGCACGCAATTGTGGATGTAATGACACAATAGGTCTGTTTAACAACAGCCTAAGATCTCCAACACCAACTCAGACTTTTCATTATCATTCATTCTTCACAAGTATATGGTCTGCATATACCAACGCCAGAACCCTTCCAGATCAGCTTTGGATGGAAAAACATTTCTCGTACCCTGAAGCCTCGCTAAAATCTTTTCCAAAACCCATGGCTATAAACCAAAGTTATAGCGTCTATTATCAGGAACAGGATCGATAGCTCAGTGGTAGAGCGAGGGATTGCAGATCCCTAGGCCGCGTGTTCGAACCACGCTCGGTCCTCTCTTTTTCCGACAGAACGACCCCACGATGTGGTGTCGTGTCCTTTTTTTTGTGTCTCAACGCCACGCTTGCATCTAAGACATATGCACAAACAGCATCGCCATAATCAGAAACGAGTCGGGGATCGATAGCTCAGCGGTAGAGCGAGGGATTGCAGATCCCTAGGTCGCGTGTTCGATCCACGCTCGGTCCTGACCTTTTGTTCTTCGACGAGAATGACTCAACCTTTTTGCTTTGGCTGCTGACTCTGCTTCAGACGCTCACGACTGTGAATCTTCGCCAAGATTCGTCTCAATTGCATTGCGACCGGCGCTCAGCCTGCCTGGGCTACCTACTAAGGACCGGAAAACTCGCTTGTATATTTTGCCATTACTCAGACACCATCATCGACGAGAAGGGAGTTCGCTGTCCTTACTATGATTAAACATAATCACCAAACAGTTTGTCACTCTACCGTTCTGATTATCTTACTGTATTCGGATGACTCAAAATGCAGCACACTGGTAGTAGCTTTAAGATCTCGATTAGATAGATACTAAACTCGAGAACCATGTATCAATTCCTTTGATAGCTATGTCTTTTTCTAGTGTAAGCTATAGAGGCACCTAGTCTACAGAATATTGACAAGATCACTTGAAATTTGATGAACGTTGACACCAAAATCTGAAGGAGAAGTCTGTTATCGGTGTTAGCTTCCACCCGTATCGTCAAGAGATATGCAAAACTTCTTACCTGAAGGTAGAGAATACCGTCCTCAATGACAGTCTCGTTGTAGGACCTCTTGGTCTGGTCCACAACACGGACGTGAACAGCATGCTTCTCCATAGCCTCGAGGAGTCCCTCCTGAAGCATGTCATCCTCACCGAACTTGTCATACTCAAGCTGCGAGACCAAGCCTTCAAGGTAAGAGAAATGAGATCTTCCAAAGTTTTGCTCCCAACCGCTATCAGCATTAGCCTTGGCCTTGAGCTTTTCGAAGTTGGCCTCAAAGTTAGGGACGATGGCGATCTCTTGACCAAGGATCTTGTTCAGCTTTTCTTGGATCTGTTGAACGTTGGGGTCATAGTCGCTTCTGATAGAGGCTCTGGCAACATAGCTCATGGGTCGGACAGTTGAAGGAGCCTCGTTCAAGGCCTTGGTGAGGTTGTTGGTGTCAGCAGCATAGCTGGTGTTGGTACCTAAGTTGCCTTTGGTGAAGAGGATGATGAGTTCACCCTCAGGGCCAACCTTGGCTCCACAGTACGATACAGTATTCTTCTCATCAAAGTCCATGGTCAGAACATGGCCGGAGCAGATCTCGTTGATCTCATCCTTAGCTCCATCCCCATTCTGCCCAATGAAGTAGTCCAGTTGATATTGAACGCCTTCAACGTAGCTAAACAGGAGAGGCAACAGTCAGTATGTTATGAATGACGGCTACTTGATCCAACAAGACATGCTTTATGCTGATAAGGACCAAGGTGGACGGCTCAAGGGGAAACGAACCTGACAATGAGATCACCCATGGAAGTGTGGCCCCACGAACCCTCTTCGGCATAGGGGTAAAGGGCTTTAGGATCAATATTGATAGTCCATGGCTGACCAAGAGTCTCTGAGAGTTTCTTTTCGTGGTCTTCCTTGGTGTTCTCCCAGCTGTCTCGAACTGGAGTCTCGTTAGTGATCTTATTAGAGATGGCCAAGACGGAAGAGCTTACTGTTTTTGCGGACAGCAAGGGGAAGTTTCTCAGCAGGCGGAAGTCGAGACATGATAGACAGAAGAATGAGATCTTAGTTATGAATTGGCAGGCTGGATTAGAGTGTTGTTGATACTCAGATCAGAGTCTTGCGGTGCGAGACTGGCTTTTATGCTTGTTTCTGGCATCTGAACCCCTGACGACCTGCCATATCAGCCTAGTCTCAGAGTCTCAACCGGCAACTGATGTGCCGGTATTATGTGAAGCTAAACTATGTATACAGTAGTCAGGCTACAAGCGTGTAACACTTGACAGCGCCGACCATTGCCATGACAAGCCTTGTGAACCCCGTTCAATCCAGCCTGTGACCAATAGCACGTGCTGAAGTGAAGGGCAAACATGCATTTCGCAGAGTTGACCAAGTTACCCATAGCCACATGGCGTTTTCCCCATGCCGAGAGCTGCCTAGATTGAGGGACCCTGCGTGTAGCTGCCTAAGCCCTATTGGAAGGCTGGAGATAGGAATGTTGGGGAGAAATTGCGGTGGTTGCTCTTTTTAATCTGCCTTACAACGCCAAAACGCCCAGCTGAAAACATAGCGCTGTTTAGCGTGTGATACCCCAACCAGCGTGAAGCCGCATTCCCTTGGCAGAAAGAGTAATATCAACTTCAGGGGTTCACTTAACCGACGGGTAAATAATAATGGGGATCTGGCTTCACTATATCTCGCTTTATCGTTGATTTTGCTCATCCCAAGATCGACCTCTCCATCCTATAACATAGCATCAACCATGTCTCTGTAAGTTGGCCTCCACACCCTCTGTCTCTCATTGGCTGGTTTACTAACGCACGCAACTATCAGCCCACTGAAGGCCAAAGTCTCGATCCGCGATAATTGGGAAAAGCCCGAATGTCGTGCTCAAGAGTCTATGAAAAGACTGAAAGATGTGCTTGGTCTTGATGTTCGCTGTGAACCACAATGGCAAATCCTTGTGTCTGAACTGGGAAGCTTTTGGGGAGATAAGGACCAGTTGGTTTCTACAGTGGCATCGTTCATCCAGATTTGGTTGGAAGTACTCACCGAGTTGCTCGATGATGAAACTCACGAGGCTTGGACTGACAATGTTCTCACCAAGATTAGGGAGCTGACTTCGAGATTGAATTTGACGGTTGAGGTTTGTTTGTCATAGTTGGTGCAGGTTCAGAACTGACATGGATATGCTGCAGGTATCAGAGAATGAACGACCCTCTACCAAGTGGTCTGACGCACAACTTGGGTTCATTCTGTATATCCCCAAGGCCCTCGTATACCAGCCAGCTCAATACTTGGGTCTCTTCAAGGAACAGCTTCTTGAATGCTTCGAAGAAAACCAGCCGTCCAAATCGTTGCCCATACACTCCACCACGGGCGATGAATGGGCAGATGTCGGAGCAGAAGAACCAGAAGAAGAGCCCTCAAAGCCTCCACAAACAAGCGCTAAAGCACCAGCCGTTGATTATCTTCCAGACCCCAACACTATGCCGAAACCTGGAGCACTTTTCCAGCAAGCTCCCTATCATCTCTTCGTGTATACCTCGACATACAACAGGAGCTACAAGATTGAAATTGAATGCAGCCACAGTCAGACTTTGGAAGTTTTGGCAGAGTATTTGAAAAAATGGACAAAGACCAATGTCAATCGTGTAGATAGGGTAAGTATCCCCTTTGTCCATGGCATTCTGGAAAGCACACATCTAACACATCCTAGCCTCCTGCGGTGGAGATCACACTCAACCACGCCGCCTCTGGCTTCGGACTCGAGTGTGATAAACTCACGCTGCATTGCGAGAATAGATATGGGCCTCTCTATAACATCTCTGCAACTGTGATTCTGAATTTGGTTGAAGGGGTGTTTGGGTATGAGAGAGTCTATGGAGATGCCAGTTCATGGCACTACCGCAGAGACACACCGTTCAAGAGGCGATGAAGAAGCAGATGCCTCCGATAAAGACAGATGTTTTCATATATAGTATAAACAAACAAGGAGTCAAATGGCAAAAAGAAAAACATACAACACCGAGGATTCGCTGGTCGTCACCGACCCAACTACTAATTCAGCACTTATCAGTTTATCGAACGGAGAGCGGACGGGATCCCGAGTTGTCTGATAGCTATGGTCGTATGTGCTGAGCCTTTTAGTTGCTAGGCGTCATAAGGTAAAGGTTTGGCTCTGATGCATAGTCAGGGGGTTACCAGCCTAGCCCTGATAACATATTCCACGAGGGACACAACAAATCGCTCATTGTCTGACCAATATCATATTTGCAAGTTGAAAATGACACTTTCTCTCAATGAACCAGCTATATCGTGGAATAACTTGTGAGGTAGAGTGGATATAGCTTCAACTCCTTCAGAAGGCCAAGTGCGAATACGAATGCGAAAAGCGTCCAACGTATTCGGCATCACTGTAACCTCCCTATGCGGTGAAAAGAGAGATATCACCTCCAGAAATATAGAATAAACCTGGCTTAGTGATATTCAAGCTTACGATCTGAGAATAACAATTGGTCGAGATTGAGACTACGAATCCTGTGCGTATCAAGATGTGATAACCGACAGTACGCTTCATCACTTTGACCTGCCGCGAAGCTTGGCTCGTATTAAAGGGACAGCTGAAGGTAGCTCAAGTGGGAGACAAGAATAAGAATGGAGCTGGCTGTGTTGTTTTCCTCGAAGAGATCTGGCTCTCCATCTGTGCATATAAACTCCCCGATTCCCTCAACTTCACAACTCATCAAGCAAACCACCGCCATCTCTTCTCTCTCCAAATGTTTTCACTCCTCTACTACCCTCTATGGGCCTTTGCTTCCTGCATAGCTATTATCATTCTCAACGTCTTATACCAGAAGCTCCCCCGAAATGCGAATGAGCCTCCATTGGTCTTCCACTGGCTTCCGTTCTTTGGGAATGCTGTTGCTTATGGACTGGACCCTTATGACTTCTTTGTGAAGTGTCGAGAAAAGGTTGAACGCATGTCTTGCTTCCTTTTCAATTCTGTTGCTGATTTCTTTTCTAGCATGGCGATGTCTTCACCTTTATCCTCTTCGGTCGAAAAATTGTTGCCTGTCTAGGCGTCGAAGGTAACGATTTTGTTCTCAACAGTCGGATCCAAGACGCCAACACCGAAGAAATCTACAGTCCATTGACAACGCCCGTCTTTGGTAGCGATGTCGTATACGATTGCCCCAACTCAAAGCTCATGGAGCAAAAGAAGTTTGTCAAGTTTGGTCTTACCCAGAAGGCTCTCGAGTCCCACGTTCAGTTGATCGAGCGAGAAGTGCTGGAGTACATCCAAGCTGTACCGTCATTCTCTGGAAAGTCTGGCACAGTTGATGTATCCAAAGCAATGGCTGAAATAACTATCTTCACTGCTGCTAGTTCTCTGCAGGGCGAAGAAGTTCGACGGAAACTTACAGCTGAGTTTGCAGCTCTGTATCACGACCTCGATCTAGGCTTTACTCCTGTCAACTTTCTGTTCCCATGGGCGCCTTTACCTCACAACAGAAAACGAGACGCTGCTCATGCAAAGATGAGAGAGATCTACATGGATATCATCAACGAACGAAGAAGAGGCGGAGGGGATTTGGAGAAAGCAACTGACATGATTGCCAACCTGATGAGTTGCGAGTACAAGAACGGGCAGCCCATTCCTGACAAAGAGATCGCACATATGATGATCACTCTTCTTATGGCTGGACAGCACTCTTCATCGTCTGCTGGTTCTTGGATTATACTACATCTAGCTTCATCCCCTGACATTGCCGAGGAACTCTACCAAGAACAACTAATTAACTTGAGTGCCGACGGTATTCTCCCACCCCTTCAGTACTCAGACCTCGACAAACTACCTCTTCTTCATAATGTCGTCAAAGAAACACTCCGTGTTCATTCTTCCATTCACTCTATCCTGCGCAAAGTCAAGAGACCTATGAAAGCACCTGGATCCCCCTACACCATCACCGCAGACAAAGTACTCCTGGCTTCACCTACCGTTACGGCGTTGAGTGAAGAGTACTTTCCAGATGCCCATAAATGGAACCCTCATCGGTGGGATAACAAGCACCTGGAGGAGGCTGTGACGGACGAAGTTATTGACTACGGCTACGGCGCTGTATCCAAAGGAACGAAGAGCCCATACTTACCCTTTGGTGCTGGTCGGCATCGCTGTATTGGGGAGAAGTTTGCTTATGTAAACTTGGGCGTTATCGTTGCGACTTTGGTGCGCAACTTCAGACTGTCGACTGTCGATGGCAAGCCTGGTGTTCCAGCAACTGACTACACTTCTCTCTTCTCAAGGCCAGCCCAACCTGCGTACGTAAAATGGGAACGCAGGAAGGCTTGAAGACTTGGTTTTGGGGGAGAAGGGTAGTAGGTTGTACGGATAAACGAGTTCAATAGACAACTTGTGGGAACTGTCACAAATCGATATCATTGCCGAAATGGAACACATAATAGCTACTGTTTCTATTGTAGAAGCTAATACAAAAAGAAGAGCATGCACACGACTTCGTTTTCGTGTTCTTCAATGAATCGTCACCCTTAGGTATCACCTAGCAACCATGGTATATAAAAAAGATGCCCTATTTGCACAATTCCATCTCTACTGTTGCGAACCACCTTGTCCGTTAGCACCACCGGCACCGGCACCAGCACCAGGGCCACCAGCACCTCCGAAGGGGTTGGCACCACCGCCCATCATGTTTCGGGCCCTGAAGATTGAGTCAGTGACTATGGATTGTGACATGGGCAAAATGGGTAAACTTACATCTCTCCAATCTGAGGATCGGACATGAGGCTGTTCAGATCAGGCATACCACCACCAGTAGAGTAACGATCGGCCATATCGCGTAGACGGGGGTTGCTCATGAGGTTGTTCATAAGGTCAGGGTTGCTCATGAGCTTCTGGGCCATGTTTGCGAACATTGGGTTGCTCATGATGCTACTGAGATCGGGCATACCACCGCCCTGGCCGCCAGCACCACCACCGCCGAACATGCTGGCAAGATTACCAAGGTCAGGCATGCCACCAGCACCGAGATCACCGCCGGCACTGGGAGAAGCACGGGGAAGAGAGTCCTCCTCAGCCTCCATCTCCTGAACACGGCGCTTGGCCGTCTCATAGCCCTTCTTCATGGCATCAGAGCCACCGTTGCCCTCATGCTGGATACCGCGGTCGTAGGCCTCCATAGCACCACGAGCATCGCCTAGGGCGAAGCGAGCAAGACCAAGTCGGGACCAGGCCTTAGTATAAGCGGGGTCGATGGCTACGGCAGCCTCGGCGTCAGCGCGGGCGGAAGCATGGTCCTTGTTGGCCGAGTGGGCAGCGGCACGGTTGGAGAGGTAGACAGCGTTGTTGGCGTTGATAGCCAGAGCCTGGGTGTAGAAGTCGATGGCAGCACGGTAGTCCTTCTGGGCCATGGCAGCATTTCCCTTTGACTTTAGGGCCTCGGCCTCCTTCTTTTGCTCCTCGGTGAGCTCGACGGGTGCGGGGGCAGGAGCAGCGGCGGCGGGCTTGTCGGCGCGGGCCTTCTCGAAGACAGAGTAGATCTGGAGGAGGTTCTGGGATCCGATGGCGGCTTGGACAGCGGAGGTATCGGAGGGGTCGACCTTGAAGGACTCGGCGATGCAGTTGATAGCCACATCGATGGAATCCTTGTCGTCAGCGGTGAGAGTGCCGTCATTTGTCGAAGCGGAGAGGAAATCGCAGATAGCGAGCGCAAGGCGCTGCTTGGAGTTGTGAGTAGACGCCTGCAGGAGAGTATTAGCCATATGTCAAGAGTCATGACGAGTATGCAGTGCAGTTGTGCTTGATACTGCGGGGGATTGAGCTGACCATGGCGAATAGAGAGAACCTGAAGGACAGGTTTTGGAGGGAGGGGGGGATAAATAGAAGAAGAGCAGAAGATACAAATCTAACAGAAAAGATCTAATTGAAACAAGAAGAGGGTATGATTCGGTGAGGCAGGAGGTCAAGGTAGATCTCAGAAGTGCAGGCAAAAAAAGGGCCCCGCGGTTGAGGCGTCGTGGAGTTTGGGCTGGAAGGTTCCACGTGGGGCCTGGGAGCAACCGAATCTGTGCTGTAGCTGTGGGGGAACGACACCCGACATATCAGTACGCAAAAGATCCATCATAATTATTTACTGATATTTTGACGTATAACTGCCCTCTGAGATAGCACTTCATTGAAGAGTTTCACTTGAGAGGCTGTCATTCGTCGTATCATATTAGCCACTGAAGATATACAAATTTCATACGTTTCCAAATGTCTCCGTGACGTAAAGAGTTGAATGGTTTATTCTGGTGTATCTCTGTAGTATCTCGCTATAGCAATGCCCCTTCACTCCTGAAGCAAAAGCCCCTGGTCTGGCTATACAAATCCATAACGCCGGTTAATGCAATCATTATGACAGCGTCCAACCCTCTCTCCAGAGCGGGCATCATCCATCTCGAGCATCTCATTTTCCAGCTCGTCGTCGGGCTCTGTCAACGTTCTTGACCTTCCTATTTCCTATAGCAGCTACCTTGCGGTACTTGGTATACAGTCTAAGAAAATCTTTGAGCACCACGTAGAGACACCCGCCGACGAGACTTCGCCCCCATTGCTGCTGGAGCAGTCCCGGACGCATTGTGCTTCCTCGTGGAAAAGAAGATGCAGCAGTCCATTGCTTAGGAAGGGCTAGGCGTAGAAGCTCACCCATGGCAAACGACACACCAGGAAGGATCAGTGCGCTTACTATCGCATTGGATACTCCGGATAGAATCGTTCCTAGACCGGGTCGGCGGGCCGGCGGCGCTTGGGGAGCTTCATGTTGGTTTTGTTGAGCAGCTTGATCCCCGTTTCCTGCCTCAGGTACAACAGCTGGGACGGCAACTGCATCATGGGCCGGGTTTTCGGGAGCATGGGCTGGGTCATGAGGCTCGTCTGCTGCTCCTTGAGCCTCCTCGGCCGGAGGCGGCGCAGGTGCATCGTTGACAGGCTCCTGTTGCGGCATTTCGTTTTGCCCAGCTGGTCTAACATCGAAGCCTTCTTGGTCATCTCTATTAACCTCCTCGATGACCAGTTCGATAACAACTCCCCCGCCTTGCTCACCATCTGCGTCTTGGCCGGCGGCGCCCGCATCATCCTGGCCATCCTCATCGATATCATCACCTTCGAGAGCTTCAATGAGCCCATTTAGAAAACCCACAACACCACCTTCTCCGTTCCGTTGTTCGGGTTGTCGCTCGTTGACAGGAGGCTGATCTCGTCGGGGTTCGACCGGGGGAAGCCCCATGATCTGTCGATTGAGGTTGACTTCATAAGGGAAGATAAATTCGCGCCAAAGGTTGAGGTAGGCAGACCGCACGTAGGGAAACACTGCCATCGCGAGTTGGGGTGAAGGGGGCCAGGTCAAGAAACTGTCGTCATGCATGACTTGATAAACACCATACTAGTGCTTTGTTAGTAGTTATCATTATTTGTTAGAGCCGTGACTTACCAATGAAGCCGTGGACAGGAAGATCTTGTTCCCAAACCATGGCATAAGCTGTCCGACCAGCAGAGCCGGTCCAACGTTGGTTAAAACCAGTGCATTGCCTAGTCTTTCACCCCCAGACATCAAAATCCGTGATGCCTCCCCGTGAACCCAGATCTCGTGGCCGAGAACATAGTCGACTAGAGCCTCGCGGCCTGAGAAAGCCCACATGGCGAATGCGCCATACATCTGGAGACTGAACTGTACTCCGAGTGTGACGGAGGAGAGCAACACGAAAGGGCTCGCGCGCGTGAACTTGTTTGCAACGGCATCCGTCATCATAACAATAGGATCCCACAGTCCTTCCAGCTGAATACGATCCTTGCATACTGGACACTGGAGAGGTTTGTTTGAGCGTTCACAATCCGTTACCCATGAAAGCATGCAATCCTGGTGGGCTTCGAGGGTGCATCCGCAGGGGTCGACCCATGATCCCGGGGGATCTGAGGGATCTTCGTCGGTCAAGCAGATGAAGCATCGTCGGGGTGCATCGGCGGGTTTCGCTGGAGGAAGAGCGGCTATGCCGGGCGTATCTTGGGTTTCTGACGCCATGGTTGAATAGCAACCTCGGGTCGCGTGCCGAACGGGAACGGTGGTTGTAAAACGGAAAGTGGTTTCGGTAAGAACGGTTTCTATTGCATTTTTTATCGGAATATTGCGAAGGAAAAGTCGGTGCTGGAAATGAATGAGAGAACAAAAGAAAGCCTTGTCTCGTGCTGAGATGGATGCTGATGAATGGATGTTAGGATGTGGCACGGCGGTGGACGCGGCGGGCTGACCTAGCTGGAGTGGAGCCTGACATCACCAATAACTCCCACTTGCCTCGGAATCATGCTTGGAGACGATCTCGGAAATAACCAATCAACGTGAGAGTCACTTATTACAACTCATGTTCATCAATATGTCGACACTGCGCTTGTGTTTCCACCAGATTACGCTCATAAGCGTAATCTCTAGATATATTCATCGCACTTGAGCTGATCAATCAGCCAGGATCGCGAGAAGAAAAAAAAAGAGAGAAAATCACCAACTATATATCTCATGGTAAATAGCCTCGAACAATACAAGAGTACTATTGAACTTGGAAATATTGCAAGGCTGATAAAAGATTAGGCTCAGATTATGTAGAATTGCCAGAAGATAAAGATATATCTGTTACAGGATACCTCAAACCTCGAGGGGACCATGTCTTGCAAGCGACCAGTTCCAGTGAACACTGTTTGACGAATAAAGCATCGAGCCCTCGTTGAACGGATATGCCTGATATGAGCTTTTCAAAGTCTTCAACCTGATAACACAATTATCCTGGTGCAAGGCAATCATGCATTAAAGTTACGAGTGGTCTTATTGCAGCAGTACTCATCATGCTTCTTATCAACAGTATGTGTCTCTTGGTGGTTGGGAGGGACAGCGTTCATCCTGGCACACTCTCGTTTATTCACATGGACGCCATGTTGACGAAGATTCTTATGTGACTCTTTTAGAATTCAGGGCTGCATCCAGGGCTGTAGGTGTACCAAAACAGACAATAGCACGCTGTCTGTGGAACATAGGAGACGTGAACAGCTTACAGGCCATCACTTGACCATCGTAAAGAGCTTTGCCCATCTTGAGCCAATACCCCTGGCATCATTAACCTTTTTAATTTCCGAGTTCCTGGGTCGTCAACGGGAGCTAGCGATGTCTATTAACTCGGCAGTGACGCATATTAAGTTCGCAGAGAAGTATCGTGGCGCACTTTAACAATCAACCTCATGACAACATCCACTGTACCAACAGAATAGTTTATGACTCATCTGCTGTTGAGTTGAGGATCCTCAGCAGGTAGCCAGAGTATTAGACAATCTGTTATGGTGTACAATATTCCAAGGTGTCAATGTCATCCTTTGATGCGGCAGTATGAGCAAGTTTCGACACCAGGAAAGCGCAAGGTTGTGAAGTGGGCTTTTGACCGCAAAACAACACAGCCTGTCCACTGATTGTCACCGTATTACTCGCAATGCACTTTTGAGCTCCTACCCAAACTCATTTAAAGAATGCTCCCCGCCTCTCTCGATGTTTGAGGAGCGGTGCCGCAGCAACTCCCAACCATGGCGCCTATGCACAAGACACCATTCGTACTGATCCTCGCAGAGTTAGCCATTTCGACCACGGCAGTGACTCTCTTTGGTCTCATGTATCCAGTCGAATTCAGATCGCGACTATGGGAGAACGGCGGCGAACAAGGATGGAACTCCAACCCTAATAAGCGGATTTACTATTACGCCAACCATCAAGAACCACCCGAAGTGCCTCTGATTTGGAGTCAAAGGTACGCTGTATAATCTTGAGATTCTGTAAGACATGTTTATAGGCAACGTACTGATGTTGGGCGCCTTTAGACTCTACGCCTCGAACCTCGCCATCGCGATCCTTGGGTTAGTCGTCTTCATCGCCCGCACCGCCATGTCACATCTTCGATACCTCCCCCGCTACGTAAATAACATCTACGATACAATCCTTCTCGTGCTCTGGGCAATGAGCATCGCAGATCAAACGTCGAGCGACTTTACCGATCCTGAACACCCAAGTCCACATCCTTGGTACCTAACAAGAGGGTGTTCTGCAGCTTGGGACAAGACTCGAGGGTATTGTCAAATCGCACAGGCGAGCTTTGCCATGTCACTCATAGCTGCGATACTATATTTTGCGAGGTTGGTACGAGAAGCTATGTTGATAGCATACGAAAGAGGGCAGCGTCACCAGCCGAAGTGGCCTGTCCAGGATGTTGAAGAGGTGGAATCGATGGCGGGTATATACATGGATGATGATGGGGAATCCGAGGCTGAGTTGATAACAAAAGAGAGCAGGCATAGCATGGCTTTGAGTCCAGTTCTGGCATTCTTCCCATCCTCAGACAATCGTTGGTAGAGATAGGTTTGCTGGCCCAGTTGGAAACAGGCCATCAGCCAAGTTTAGGATAGCACATTCACAATACAAGCATGGTGCATCATTGTCAAGACTTCAGACTGCAATTTGTGATCGTCATTTAGTTCTGATACTTGCACTTTAGTGCCAACAAGAAGTAATGAGTGGATCCATCGCTAATCACCATCCGCGTTCCCATTCTCCATGTCTCATCCATCAGGGTTCCCGTCGACGGCGTTGAAGAATAGTTTATTTGTGCTTGATTGGTATACGTTAGTCCTCCGTTCCCTTGAGACATGCACCAGACCAGGGAAAACTTACAGGGCAGCCGGCGCAGGTGCAGCTAGAGCCGCAGCCGCAAGAGCCAGAAGAAGCGCATCCACAGCCAGACATGATGATGGTTGTTTTTGAAGAGTGTGGTGTTGAAGATTGTTTGTTTTTTAGTTTGTGAAGTTGAGATGTGGAGAGTTGATTGAGGAGAAGGAAAATAGCGGGCGGACAAGAGGGGAGGTTCTTTTAAAATACGGTAGAGGGCCAAGCTGATTCACTGACAGTGGGCAAGAAGGAGTCACGGCGGGTCAAAATCAGTGGTTCACACAGTTTCACACCAACCTGGGTTTCCCTTTGGCGGCCTGAGACGGCTTCCTAATGGCTCGATTTCTCAAGCTTGACCATTCTCATCGGCACATCTTCCCAACTGAGTGTAACTACTTGGTGCACTTCGCTAGGAGGCGTCGAATGACGTGGGGAGTCAGGATCATGGTACTTGATGATTGGTGCAGTCTAGTGTTTCCTTTACTGCATCGGAAGATCAATGGAATGGAATTCACCGACTTCCGGTCAAGAAACTACGTTTCGACTGATCATTAGTGTAATGAATATCGCAACGACTCAGTACTATAAATTGTTGTTTGTTTGTAAATCATGTCTTGGGCTTCCGAGAAATATAGAACAGGTAGGTTCGGTTTATAATCTTCGTGACCTAAGCCAAGTTTTAAATCCTGCATTGTAACTTACAATAAATACCACCTCCCAGGCTTGTGTTGTAAATAGTCAGTCCTTGCAGTTATCTTGGCAATGTATTCCTTTACTTTTCTCCAGGGGAACACCATTTTCCCTCTTTTTCTTGCACCGTCTATCCGCATCTTGGGCCTAGGTTGTCCCAGGTCAGCGGGGTATGGAGGGGTAGCTGTCTCAGGGTCCTAAAGTGACGTCTGATGTCTGATATTCGCCTCCGTTACACAAATCCAAGATATTGTATCATTATCCTGCGCATTCTTGCTCAAGATCTGATCCTGGTCAACGCAAGATCAATCATCATTTGAAGATGCTGATATCTGCTCATCTCGATGCCACCAGGTGCGAATCAAGAAACGACAGCTCGTATTACGGTTATAAGCAATTCTCACGTAACCGGCCAGCAATTGCAATACTAGCTCAATATCTCTTTGATCCTTGAACATACAGAAGTCATCCGAGCCTCTCGATAGAGATGTACAACGCACAGCCGAACTTGAACAGGGTTAAGACAACTTATTCGCATTATTCGTGTTTTCTAGCGCTCTAACCAAGTATTTCATAAAAGCTGCTTCTCCTGGTTGCAGACTTACGGCTCAACCCCCTAATCAGACATGCTGATTTACAGTCTATAATATACAAAGAACAATGAAATGACTCGCTGATAACTCGTGGACCAAAATACCCCCCGTTGGCCGGTGAAAATGGCTTGCATCCCTATCCAACGCCATACGCCTTTGGTCATCCAATCATTCTTTCTTCTCCCGACTCACTTCCTCGCGAACCTCTCTCACCACATTCATGAATTGGCTCGCACCAAGAGCCGTCAAAATATGCCACCAGCCGTGGAACTCAAGAAGCCAGGCCCAAGGTAATCCAATACGTTGACGGAAGTTCCTCAGCTCGGCGCAGAATTCAAGATCGAGGTTCCAAATAAAATAGCCAAACAGGCAGGTGAATGTCGCAGTCCATACTCGGATAGACCAATCGCGTACATTCTCTTCGGAAAATGTTGGCTTGGCCCAGTGGAAAAGATATCGAACACGCACACCGATAACGATGAGCGAGACCCAGAAGCCGATGACCTGATAAATGATCTTGGCAGATCTGACGTAGAATACCGAGAAGGAAATGAAGAAAACAGCCAGGACGATCGAGATGTAGCGAATGTTCTGAGGAGACTGTCGTAAGATGACGAGGGAACGAAGCATTGACCAAGACAGCAACAGCATTGACAATTCGTCAACAAATTCCAACGTCTGGCGAAGAGTCGCATGGAAGAGAAAAGACCCAAAGCCAAGAATTAATAGCGACACAGACATGAAGTCCCATTTCGGATCAAACAGTCCACGACTGCGACTACGCGAGCCATACATGGACCGAAGAGCCAAGTAAACTACAAGCCAGAAAGGTCAGCTGGAGCCAAGTTTCCGGATCTTGCGGTGTCACACAAAGACTTACCGTACGTAACGTTTGTCAACGCATTGATGAATTCAGCCAGATAGAATGTCACAGCATAGTCTTCTTCACAGAAGCTGTGGTCGCAAAGTTAGTATTCCATCGATACCAAAGAACAGCTAGGTGAAGTCATACTTGGCCCTGCTGGTAGGGGGGCTCCAGACTCCACTCAGCGAGTGAGGATCGCCATCGAAGCGAAGGTTATGGTGTCCCATCTCGACTATATCTCGAGAATATTCAAGACTGTGGTTACTTTTCCTCGTTGAGTTCTTCTTACTCTTTGCTTTGGTCGAGGCGTGAGGGAACGAAGATGCCAGCAACGTTGGCTCGGGGATAATCACGTGGCAGCATTCCCTGTTTTTTTCCCGTCGGCGACCCGCGGCTCAGGATGAATCACTGACGAAAAAAGGCCTGTATTTATTATTTTCTGGATTTCTATTAAAGGGACCAATTATGATCGTCCCAACGAATCATTAACAGTCTATCGTGCTGCCATTTTTGCACCGAACCCGCTTTCTCGTTAAGGGCTGAAGAGGATGAGCAGACAGTGGGTGATAGAGGGGCGACTAGATTCAAGACAGCCTCGGTTACTCGCGTCCTCTCATGATCTCTCTCGTCCCTTGTAACTCCTCCCAAAAATTGTTGGCCATTGCGTGTTCTCGCTCAGGACCTTCTGTTTTCGATTCGGGCATGTACTCTTATGAATCGGCCACGTGGTGGTTGTAGAAGAACGACTGGTCACTGGTCAGACTTGTGATCTTCTAACGAGTATTTGCTTCAACTTACTCTTGTCGCAGCTCTTGGGAGCTCAAAATTCTTCCAGATCTTGAAGCATCTTCGCTTTTTAGTGACCCTTCACGACTCCGGTGTCTGGGACATAGATTGGTCGCGGGAGCTGTCCAGCCAAGGCGTACTACACCTCACGATAGGCAAACTGCATCGACTCGACGATGAATAGAGTGGCATCAAATCTCTCCACTCCCTTGTCCTCCGTCTTTCGTTCCCTAGCCACGTATTTTCGCGTTCGCAGGCAAAGCGACATTGCCCAGAGGTCATCGCGCTTCGCCTTGGTAGCAACAAGAGGAGCCATCCAGTCGAGGTAAGCCGTGATTCCAGAGCCGATGGTATCGGGGATGCGTATGATTCGAATGAGTCCGACGACGTGATGATGAAGGCGTGGTGACTGCTTCACGGTGACCTGGCTGTAGATCCAAGGCTGGTACAGTCCTGGTGGTCCTTTGTACATCTCTGGCGGGGTGAAGCGGAAGCTGTACCATGTCCCATCACCAAGCTCGCGGTGCCAGTAGATTCCCCATTCGAACTTCTCGGAGCCTGCAACATGTTTCGAGGTTCCTTTTAGGCCTCGAAGGCGTATGATCTCGATATTGCTTGTGTCGACGTCGTAGATATGAGCAATGGTATGAGGTGGCTCCTCGGGAACAGAGATCGTCATGTACAGCGTGAAGGGCTGTAGCTGTTGAGTTGGGTAGCTCATCTTGAAGCCGTCTCTCGCTTCTTTTTTGGCGTAGGAACCGCCGACGATTTGCTGAAGTGAAGTCCTTGGGGGTGCTCAGGCGTGTTTACAGGGTAAGTAAACGAACTCGTGATGGAAAGCCTTGGATTCTGCTGGACTTCGGTAGCACAGACTCAGATTGCTTGGGCACTGGCAGTCAGCTGTCAGTGAATGTGTTTGCAAATAAATGCCCAAACAATGGGTCATGATCATGATTGTATTCGCCAGGCATCATTGTATGCATTCGTCTGTAACACAATATTCGTTGCAGGTGCGACTCCAAGGAACTGAGCTGATTGATACCCTGGACTTTGACTGCTTTCAAAATTCTATGATCCCGTGTCGTAATATTTCGGAGTTTTGTTCGTATCATGAGTTCTCGTGTCTCAAGAGGACCCCGGGCATCGGCATGATGAGCTCTTTAGTCTAAGCAACATCCATGACAAGAGCTATTACAACGGACCGACCATTTAACAGCCGCACCTATCTCTGCGCAAAGAGAAACGCCAACCCCACAACAGAACCACTCCGTCTCACAACTTAGCCGTTATGGCGCTCGCTAAAGCGCCGAGAACTCGACCACACGATCAATTGCGCCACAGGTTCTGGGGAAGCTCTCATGCTGTACGCCGATAGGTGGGGATATATTCGGGGGTTGCTGAGGGGTCGAAGAGAAGATGTGAAAAGTGTTGAACGAGATTTTCAGCTCAGATTGTCTTTGAACACAAATTTTGACACATTTTAGGATCGCAAAGTCCTTCATATATAAGGTACACGACCTTTGCGACAACTTTGATAGCAAAACTACATAAACTCAGCTGCGACAATAGCAATCTACGTCATATCATCAACAGCTGGCCCACGATCCCCGAGGGGCAATAGCGGGGCATACTTAGCATTAGCAACCTTGCAACGACAGCTTCTCACGCGATAAAGCCTGCGACAAGTACAAAAACTCGTAATTGTCGCCTCTGAAGCAAGAAAGACAATCGCAAACATATACTGTATCATATACTTTCATCATGACCGGTACCGTCCCCGTTGCCAACGCCTTGAGCGACATCTATCCTCCCGCCGCGCTTTCTGAGCAAGGTCCACGATGGAATAACCTTCTCAGCAAGTTTGAGTCTACTTACGGGCATGCTGCTTCTTTCGTCGCTCGTTCCCCTGGACGAGTTAACATTATTGGAGAGCACATTGACTACTCTCTCTACTCGGTGCTGCCCATGGCCATCACTGCCGACACCCTTCTGGCCGTATCCGCTACACCCGCCGCCCAAGACGCCAAGTCCTTTCGCATCCGCATCGCCAATGTTGAGGATGACAAGTTTGAGGCCGCTGACTTTGAGGTTCCCTTTGACGGAGATGTATCGATTGACGCGACCAAGCTAGAATGGACCAACTACTTCAAAAGTGGTCTCAAGGGTGTGCTGGACTTGTTGAGGAAGAAGTATGGAAAGGATTTCAAACCATGCAGCATGAATTTGCTTATGGATGGCACCGTACCTGTTGGTGGAGGACTTAGCTCAAGTGCTGCTGTGGTCAGCACGAGTTCACTGGCTATCATGTTGGCCAATGGTGAGAAGACGGTGGACAAGACTGAGCTGACAGAGCTTGCCATCGTGAACGAGCGTGCGGTAGGAGTTAACTCGGGAGGGTATGTAACATTGAACTTCAACGGCGACCATAATCTCACTAACGATGACCCAACAGTATGGATCAAGCTGCCTCTGTCTTCTCTGAGAAGGGTGCCGCTACCTTTGTTTCATTCAGTCCAAGCCTCAAGGCTAAGCCAGTTCACTTCCCTCCCACAAATCCCGAAATCACATTCGTTATCGTGCAGTCCTTCGTCACATCAAACAAGCAGGTCACAGGCCCCATCCACTACAACCTCCGTGTAGTCGAGTGTAGCATCGCTGCATCCTACCTAAACGCTGTTCTGAATCCACCCGGCACACAACTCCCCGAGGATGCAGGCCCCCTGGGCGTCAGTCTCGGAGGTTTCCATGAAACTTTCTTTTACCACCAGAGCGGCTCAGATTACTCCGCTGCCAAGACCCTGACCAAGGAGGAGGAGCTAGAGAAGTTGATCGAGATCACTGAGAAGACACTGACACAGGAGGAGGGATATACACGGGAGGAGGTGGCCAAGGTTCTGAATATCACGGTTGAGGATCTTGAGAAGCGTTTCATGTCCAAGCTCCCAGTACGCGCCGAGCGCTTCAAGCTCCGCCAGCGTGCTCTGCATGTGTTCAGGGAGGCACACCGAGTTCTTCGTTTCATGAAGCTGCTCGAGAACCCTGTTCACACAGGAGCTACCGACACAACCGAGTTCAACAAAGAACTCGGTTCGCTGCTGAACGAAACCCAAGTATCATGCCGGGATTTGTACGAGTGCAGCTGTCCCGAGCTTGATGAGATCTGTGCTATTTCCCTTCGGGAAGGATCTTACGGAGCCCGTGTGACCGGTGCCGGTTGGGGAGGTTGCAGTGTGCACATGGTGCCGGCGGATAAGGTCGAGGCTGTGACACAGGCCCTGGAGAGGGAGTATTTCTCCAAGAAGAACTTGACGGAGGAACAGAAGAAAGGGGCCGTAGTGGTGAGCCGGCCGGCAACAGGAAGTGCCATCTACTATGTTAAGGACGGCGTGAAGCCTTAAGGAGTGATATTAATACGGATAAATATGTATAAGCATATTAGCAGTAGAATAGTGGATCGAGGAACAAAAAGCATAAAGTGAACGGCAGCAAAGGTCCGGTTGATCATACGCATGGTCAAGGGCTCAAGAGAATATTACAAATGTTGAAATTTGAATGTCACTTGGGGGCCTCTTGGGCACATATCCCACCTGAGGCCCGATAGCTTGGTCAGTCCTTGTACGAGCAGATCACCGATGTGACGCGTCGTTCTGGCCCTGGATATTTCTTCAGATTATTATCCGTAAAGGGGAGTAATACCCTATTCGAGGAACTTATGTGAGGCTCCGAATATGCTGGACAAGCCGACAAGGCAAGGAAGAAGTGCGATGTCACGCTTTGAATTGCCGGACGCGATCACACGCAAATGCCGAGATGACAACGATACCTCAAGGGGATGAAGCATATTGCTCTTCCGGAATGCACGGGTTGCGGTGACAAGAGGCAATGTTGGACGGAAGAGGACAAGCCAAATTTCCGGTCAGGGGTGGTCTGTTTTTAGGCGTCTGGAAGATGAAGAGTGACGGCGTGTTAGTGGTGTTGAGGTTTAGGGACTGTATTTAGAGTTTCTGCTAATTATTGAGAGGGTGACAACTTGGACGTTGCAGAATTACATGGTTATAGGTGCTTGGGAAAATCAAGATCGACAGGGTCGCTTCGAGTCTATGGTTCTGGATACGAGCGAGAACATTGATGCCATCGTGATCCTTGCTTCTTGGTACCCGATTCCCCGGGTCGGTATTTTTTGGGAGCAACAAGATTAATGAATGCAGGCCTGGGACTGTTGAAGCCAAGCGCAACGGTCACGGAAGCAGGCCGAAAGATGTCAGAGAACGGGCAAGGGTTGTGAGGGTCTGGACAATCGTATCTTCCGATGTGTCAGCACTTCAGGTCATACATTCCTAGTCTAGCTTCTTTAAAGAATGGGGGTAATTAAGCCGAAAGAGTCGACTCCGGGGGTGGAGAGCTGGAATAAATTGAGGCGGACGAATCAGAACCATGATCCTGGAGTAAAGGTAAATGTGGGAGGATTGGAATTTGAGAGAAGAACCTGGTTCCTGGGCATTTTTGTCATTATCTAAAGACGCCTCACGTCACTCTATGGAACTCATTTCAAACTCTTGGCTTTTGTGTGTGAGAGTAATGCAAGGGGAATGGCATAATTGGCTGAGAAATGTGGTGTTTGTGGCGGTTTCTATTTGATATCATAGATGGCTTATCTGAGGATTTGGAGTTGTCGTGATTAATGGCCCGACGTGATGCTGACTGGCTGAATACCAAAACTTTTATTGGTTACACTGCTTTAACTAGGGTGTTCATAATCGCCGTTCCTGGGCACCTTAAAGAACTTCGTGAGACGACGAATTCATTCTTACAGGTCAAGATTTCTTCACTTCTTACTGTGCTGCAACACGATGTCTGAGATAAGATCTTAGGCTTCATGGCATTAATTGCAAATTAATGTTCTTATTTTATTCCAAGGATAGCACAACTTGACTTTCAACCACTAACACGACCCAAGCATTGGTCTATGCTTCCACCAAAGCTGGGGCTACTGCAAGAATCTCACCATGTTTCCTCGTCTCCAGGTCAAGGACGATCCCATCACGAAATACTTTCACCTAAGAGTGCAGTTGCAGTTACATGTCCGGGGCGGCGCGGCGCGGGCTCCGGATCAGTTTCCACGGTTTCTCCATGTCGTTTTTGGTGGAGCATGAAATGTCGAGTTGTAACGTCGAGACGTAAATTGGCCAGTAAAGATGATCATTTCGGCAACGTTCACGATTGAGAGTCTGGGCAGGCGAGCGAGTGGGATAATTAGATATCTTCTGGTGTTGTGTTGAGGGTTGAGGCTGGTGAAGGGCCTTCAAGGGATGCTTGTCGTGATGTGATTGATGTCTAGCAGCGGTGAATATTCTTAGACCGAGTCTGAGTCGATATCACTCTGAACCATACTAGCCAGGTGTCATCAGCTTATGCCGCATGGCGATCTCGAGCCGCGAGTTGTACTGTAGATCATGCTCTGGACTGACTAACCAACGTTAGCTGTCATTGTCGCTGTCGTTCTCGTCTTCTGTTAGGTACTGTAGTAATCTGATGCCGTTGAAACATCCCTGTGTCCCAGCAATGCATAAGGTTCTGATCATAACAAGCGCACAACCCATGTACTCCACAACTCTCTGGTCTTTTGTCGGTATACTGGGTCATCTATCCGAACAATCTTCCCTGGCCTCGTTCTGGATCTCCACGGTTATGAGTGCCGAGCGAGGCTAGTCCCTGAGTTTCAAGGGCCGTCCTTGATTGAAGCTATTCCGAGGATAGGTATTGTATTAGTCGTTTAGAATTGATCTACGAGTAGTTGCAGTACACGGTCAATAATTTCCAGCAACATGCATGCACCCTAAACTTGTGTCTTGTCAAGGCATGGCATAGCATGGCATGGCATGCTGGGCAAGCCTTGGGCTGGATACCATTGGGTCGTCGTAATTCTCCAACATGAGGACCAAGTCGGGTTTAGGGCCAGGCGGTGCCATCCATGCCATGCCTAGGTCTTGTTCATTAATGACTTGGGTTCCCCTCCTTCGATCATCACTGCGAGCGGGTTTTCCCTCATCTTTACAAGTATTTCATCTCTTCTTCTTCTTTAATCTCAGTTGCCCTCATCCTTTGGAATACTCAAAGCGCCTCAGTAGAATAATAACGACTTGTCGCCCACTCCAGTTTCAAATCATCTCTTTTGGTCTTGGCTCCAACTGTCCCCGCTCATATCTTTCCTCTTACTCTTACCCCAGAGCAACTGTATCGCATACCGCTATCTCACCCGCTATCAGTTGATCCCTGTTGTCCCTGGGGACGGCTTTTTATTCGTGAAGCAGCTTCAACAATCTGTCATTCTTTTTGGTTGCCTCATCCTCTTGTTGTCTCCAATTCCCACTATATACCCGCTGACTCCGATTCCTTCTCGTCCCTTTTTGTTCTTGACATTTACTGCACTCTGTTGCTGTCGTTATCGGCTTCCATCTTCACAGTGGGAGCCCTGACCCAGCCCAGCCCCATACCAGCCCAGATCCACTAACTTTGGGGGTTAAGTCGCTGGACTCCACCACCCATTCAAGCGGAGCCAGTTCTTCTCTTCAGCCCTGATTTGACTTTGCTCTTCCTCTTCCATCATCACCAACATCATGGCTCCGGACTCGTGGTCCGACGCCGATAGCGTGTCGCAGACTTCGCAGCATTCTCAAATGTCTAATCAAGATACTTCTCTTGATCGGCAGTTAATCCGCCATTTGATGCAACGCTATGGTCGCGACGGCATTGCTCAATTGATAAACGAGGAGGCAGATTCGTCTTCCATTTCCAGTGAGTAATTAATTGACTTCCCACTGTCACCACTAACATGGTATCTTCCAGTCAACGATGGAGCGTCTGTAGTTACTTCAAGTACCTTTTCCTCAGTAAAGTCTGAGGAAACTCCAAGCATCTTCGATAAAGCTAGCATACGAACTTTTTCATCCGACAACTCATCGACTCGAGGCAGTATCATCTCCAACGTATCCGCCCGCACTGCCAAGCTTCTTGGTCGCAAACAGGCTGCTCGCCCTTCCATCACCCACGAGGAAGAAACGTCACCAGCATCCAATGAATCGTCCACACCAGCGCCTAAGCAAAAGGGCTCTTTTACATGTGGCTTCTGTAGGGAAGAAGGCATTCAGAAGACATGTACCCGTAAAAACGACTTGAAGAGGCACATTGAGGATTTCCACAACACCAACGCCCAATGGTTCTGCCGGCAAAAGGGTTGCGACATGGTTTTTGATTGGCAGACGGCGTACAAAACCCATTTAAAACAAGCTCACGGTGGTTCGCGCATGGCTCTTGATGAAGCCAAGGTCAACCTATGTCCTCAAACTGTTTTTGCTTGTGGTTTTGAGAACTGCTCTCAAGTTTTTGAATCTCCCAACGACGACGAAGCCGATACGATTTTCAAGGAATTTGTGGCCCATGTGGTCAAACATTTCGACGAAGGCTCCAACAGCGGAGAGTGGGCTTATTCTGCAAGGATGCGAAACCTCCTTCGACAATCAGGTCTTGTGCGTGCCTGGCAGGGCACTTCATGGGGTGAGGACGAACGAAGTCAGTTGCAATGGCATCCTCAATCCAGCGGCATCCTTAGGAAACGCCTTGAAACGAGGCATCTCGGTGACCTGCAACTTCTTGTTCAGTATGCTATTGCCCTCGGCACAGAACCTTCGTCGATCAAAGAGTATCGCGAAGATTTCATAAACCCTCTCAAGGATCAATGCCGCCAGGTCATCATGGGACACAAGTCTCGGGCACCTCCCCTGCCACCTTCAGGCCCGTCTCCAAGTACGGACCAGCACCAATTCCGCATCTCTCGAGGAAACACAAACCCCAACATGGCATACATGGCTCAACGTCGCGCTTATGCCCATAGACCCGGACCTCTTCGTTCTGGCCGATCCGCTCCGGCTCCGCGCCACACCATTCCCGTTAGTTCGGCAACTCCTGGAGCTATACCGCACCATTTCCAGTACAACATGGCTTCCGCACCCATGTATGATCCCCGGCAACAGCAACAATTCGCAATGATGCAGCAAGCTAGCGGAGGCATCATTGCCGAAGACTTACGGAGTTTTCAGTCTATTGCTGGCAATGTTCCAGAGCAGGACATTGACATGCCGGATACTGATATGATGGACTCTACATTTATGTCCAGTCCTAGCTTTTCAGGTCCATTTGGACCTCAAGGTATTACAACCGCTGCGTCTGATGGGGCATGTATTACGTCCACAGACCCCATGAACCCACACATACAGTTTGGGTTTGACTCAACATACACATAACAAAGCATACGTATGAAGCTCGCTTCATATTGATCTTGCAAACTGCCCCTATTTTTCTCCTTTGTCTATATATCTGTCGGTGAACAGCAGACATGGCGTGTCCCCTAGCACCAGTTTTTCTTGGTTATTCTTGGATGGGAGTACTTTGAGGTATTTCGTGGGTTATGCTATTGCTCAAAAGCCAGGATTGTGTTTGAGTGTGTTAGGTATAGGAGTTTGTTTGGTATGGTTGATAGGCTACGCATCTAAAGTGTATTGGATTTGATACCCCCTGCTTGAATGATTAGCATTATTTCCCAGGATACAACCGTACATGTGTGCACTGCGCCCCTTGAGCTCTGTGACATGTGTATCATCATGATGCTATGATATCGCTATAGTCAGGACCGTACTCGTTCACTCAAGCACAGTATGCTGGTGTCCGATCCGTGAGGCCCCCGCTGCACGTTCCTCTGAGGCGGTGGTGGCATGCCCCTGTTGTAATCGAGGTTGCCGGTCGGCCTCGGACTCTGGAGAGACGGATAATTGCCCCAAGTTTCTGAAGTTTAAGCAAGTTGTCGATCACGATATTACACTTCTGACAAAACAACTCTGAAACAAGGGACAACCTAGATCAAGGTAGAAACAAAATGCAATAGAGTTTACAAGGTACGGCGTATTCCGAGGCTCATGTATCCCTCTATCGGCTTGTCAGCGGAAGTGATGGATGAATATGTGCGTTACATGGTGTTGACGCTAAAGTCACAACCGCAACTGCCGTGAGTGACTGTCGTTAGTGACATTCCTTGTAGACATAAGTGCATAGAATGTCTTGTTTAGGCCATACGATCTGCCAGTAAAGTTTATGTTAAGGGCAAATGCGACTGTACAGAGTTCTCCCTGGCGGACGGCGTCATACAGGGTAGCAGCCGTTGACATGGACTACGAGTCCGCTGTCCCGAGGTTATGATAGAGTTTACGCGGAAAGATTCTCTCCATCTGATAACTTGTGAAGATGAGTATCGATATTTGGATCTTTGCTTGGATCTATGTACCGAACTGGCGGTTTGACACACGTCTGAGATGAGGTGATACTGCATTCAACGCATACACATCTCATCAACTAACAAAGTAAAACCTTCATGATTCCGAGAGAGTCACCTAGCTCTCTTCTAAAAATGTTTCATGGCGTCTTATTTCATCCTGTTAATGGCCAAGAAGCAGAGTCACCAAGTGATCAGTGCCGCTCTTTGGGATGAAAAATAGCAAGCGGCATATACAGGAAGGCTGAAGCACAGTCAAAAGCCCGGGCGGAAACCAGCTTCACGAACGAGGCCTAAGCCCTCCCTACGACAAGGATCCCCACAAGGTTGAGATAAGGACCTGGGGGGGACTTGCGGGAGGCTCCCGATAAACCCAGAATAGATGATGCCGCGGCACAGAAGGTTTATGGCGGCTTGTCATTCTTGATTATGGTGCATGTCGAAATGTCACAGAATGTGTTTACATGAGT